TCAAAGGTCTTTTTCCTGCCCTGGTTACAAAGTTACTTGATTAAGGGGATGGAAGATGAGGAAGAAGAGCATATAGGTTAAATTAAAGAATAAGCTAGGCCTTTTCTGGCAGGCTAAGTAGATTTTACAATGGCATGATCTAACTGGTACAATGAAGACATGGGCTGCACTGATACTTTGCTTTATCTGGGGAATATGCGGACGTTCCAAGACATTCCTGGCCTTTGAACTTGAACTAATCATCTCATTAACTCTGCCAGTCCTTTCTGGCTCTTTGGTTTTATCTGGTTAACTCTTTGAGTCTCCTTTATTCTCACTCCACCCACTCATATCTATTTTTCTGCCTAACAGTGTGAGTGAAAGAATATACCCTGTGCTCAGCTATGGACTGGCTTCCTGGGATGGTTCCTAGATTACCTGGGATATGCAGATCACTGGGTCCTAGATTACCTTTTGCCAACCTACCTGCAAATCAAAAGTATCAGTGGTATTTCCAATGTTTATGACCTGAGATTCTGAAGGATTGTACATGTCTTCTGAGAACCCAAGGAGGTGGCAAGAGAGCCAGGTAAAGGGCAGGCCTTCTTTTTGAGGTTGGGATGATGGCTAACCTGATTGTCAGCCAAAGAACTCCTAGGGTAAAGGGTATTTACTGTGCAAGAGTGAGAGGCTTGAAGGATGTGACACATTGTATTTTCTGAAGATGGCTGTACCAATATATATATATATATATCCCATCCTACATGCTCTTCCTCAAATGTCACCAACTGAGAGGTGGGCTCTATTTCCCTTCCCTTGAATATGAGCTGTAGAGGGTGGGGGCGGGCAGTTGTGATTGCTCTGATCTTCAGAATATAATGGAAGAGATGGTATTTGACTTCCAAGGCTGGGTCATAAAAGGATACAGCTTCTGCTTCTCTCCAGCCAGCAGCCCCAGCCTAAGATCTCAGCCCTTCCAAATTTTTAGTGTCTTGAGCAAAATAAATATGGTCATTTTTTAAGCCACTAGGGTTGAGGATGCTATGCTAGGTAGCCATAATACCTGGAAGAGTGGACAACTAGAATTAAGGAAGAGCATGGCTACATGAGAAATTAGGCAGAAGACTCAGTTGGAAATGGAGACAAGTCACGCAGCAAGGAGGGCCACCTGAGCCCTGGGCTGTTTAACAGTATGATCTTCCCAACTAGAGAACAGCAGCCTCTGGCACAGTGGAGGCTCTCCTGTCTCTTATAGACACCAACAATTCTGTCTATTGGTGCTGGATCTGACTGCTGAGAAGACATGTCAGTCACCACATTCGGTGTTGACTTTGCATGATCCATGGGACTTTGCTGAGCTGGCACAAGAGTATCATTGTACACATGGTTCAAAACCAAATCACTCCCACAGAAAGAGGTCAGGGCTCTACCTGCAGCAGAATGTTCAAAGTCACAGCTGCCCAGAGGTGAGACGAGCTTGCTCAGAGGTTAGTGGGCTTCCCATCACTTGAAATGTTCAGGGATGGGATGGCCATCCCTGTATGTGGTAGCATTTTACAGCTTTACTCAAGATAACTTGACATACAATGGACTTTACATATTTAATGTGCAAAGTTGATGTGCTGCCATGTGTATAGATCTGCAAAACCATCGCCACAATCATGATAGTCAACATATCCACCATCTGCCAGATTTTCTTGTGCCCCTTGGGAATCTCTCCTTCCTGTCCCTCCTGATGGCCCCTTCATTCATCTCTTACTACAGGTTTGTTTGCACTTCCTAGATTATTATGTAAATGGATCACTCAGTGGATACTTACTTTGGCTGCTTTCCCTCCCCATCATTATTTGAAGATGTATTGTGTTTTTATGGCTTTTGCCCTTTTTATTGTTGGGCAGCATTCCATCATCTGGATATACCACAACTTGTCTCTCTATTTATCTGTTAATGGGTATTTGGGTTGTTTCCAAGTTTTGGCTATTACAAATTAAATGTCTATGAATATTTGTGTACAAATCTTTATATGGACATGTGTTTTCATTTCTGTAGGGTAAGCGTCTGGGAGTAGAATGGCTTCCAGCACCTGAGAACCTAATGGGAAAGGGTATCAGGGTGTGTGTGGGCCTCACTGGAAGGATGCAGACCCTCTATTAAGTTCCCTTCCTCATCACGGTACAATACCTCACTCTACTTTTTCAGCTGTGGCTGATATTCCTGAACCATCTGTCTGGTTCAGCCTCTGCAGAGACTAAATATTTTAGCCTTTGGAAGGGTAAGGGAGCAGCAGTGGCCCCTGCTGTGTGTGTGGGCATGGGAATGGGGGAGATCTGGGTGCCTACCTGCTTCTAATACAGACTTTCAACAAACCCTGCCACCTTCAGCTTCCCATGCTTCAGACTTCAGAGGGACTCAGAGCTACAGTTCCCCTCCTTCCGGGGTTCTGCAGTACAAATAGGCTTCTTTTGAACTCTGCAGGCTTAAGTTTTCATCTTTCCCTGAATGATGAAGTTGTAGTCATCTGCTTTCCATCTTCTAAAATTTTTGTTGACATCTCTCATTTGTTCTTGTATTTTCTCCAGTTCTCAATTCTTCTGGGATTGTACTTGTTCTGTTACTTCACAGATGTTTTAGGGGGATGTCAGGATGGAAAGGAGATAACTGTGTATATAATATCCATATTTAACTGGAAGTCACTGCTGATTTCCATAGTATAAATAATGTATATGCATGCATCATTCAATTTATTGAGTGCTTTCAGGTGCCAGCTATCCTCTAGGCACTTGAGATGTATCACTGATTCATGCTTTGAAAAACAAACAATTAAGGCAGGGTAGGGAGGACTGGGATATATATTGTAATATTAGAAAGGATGGTGAGGGTAGGCCAGATTGAGAATGTGAGATCTGAGTAAAACCTTGGAGGAGATGAGGGAGTTAGCTACATAGTTATGTGGGGTGGGGGGGAGATCAAAGCAGGCAGATAAAGTAGTCAGGAGAAAAGCCGTAAGTGGAGGCATGTCTGGCAAGAATAGGTTGGGGAGAATTGGAGAGGTTTGGAGAAGGGCAGTAAATCTTATATGCTTGATTCTATTTTTTTAAGACAGTTAGAAATTCTGTGTTTTGTATAAAGACAAAACGTTATTCATGACACTTGTTAAAATGGTAAAGCAGACTTTATTCAGGACTATTGTGATAGGTATAGAGACTACTGTTACGGCTTTTGCAGGAGGGGGGAGAGAATGGGCTCAATTCCAAATAGAAAGAAACTTGGAGATTTATAGCCAAGGAACAGAGTGGGCTGGGGAGGGGTAGTGGTGCAGGGGTTGGTGGGAGGGGGATGTTTGTCCATAGGTAGAAAACTACTAAGAGGGTAACATCATTCTTTCCTAAGCTGACCTAATAGGATTCTTGCTGAAGGCAGGCTGCAGTGACCAGACATCACTTGGGGGATGTGGGGGATGTGAAATTTGATTTGATATTGGGGGTGATCAGATATTGAGGGTGGGGGATTCTGGCTGACCTGATTTAGCAGGATTCCTGCTAAAACTAGACAATGCAAAGAAAGACATGGAAGCCCAGAGGTCAAGGCCTCGTTGGGAAGAGGTTCAGAGGAGCCTGAGTAAAACTGGGTCAAGGACAGGCAGTGTGTACATAAATGTATGTGCTTATAGAAATTGCAAATAAGTGTGGAAGGAGACACATAAGGTTGTTATCAGAATTCCTGTGTTCGTAGGCATCCATAGCAGTACTACAAACAGCAAGGATGCCTGTGGGCCAAGGGCTGGCTGAAATGTCACCTCCTCCGGAAAGTCCTCCCTGAGCATCCCAACTGAAGCTGTGCACTGAAAACCCCTGCCCCCAGCTATCACACTCCCCAATTTTTATTTTCTTGAAAGCACCTAACAGTACCTGAAATTATATTCTAGTGGCAAGATAAGAAATCGGTACGTAACACATTTATAAGATAATTTCTGTAGCTTCTGTTATCATTAGCACCAAAGAACAACCTCAGGGACAAGGAAGGCAAGGTTTGCTGCCTGCCTGCCTGCCTGATGTTTACTCACCTGAGTAGTTGTGTACCAGCCCTCACACACATTGGCCCGTGTCATCCTTAAACAACCCTTTGAGGAAAGCACTATTATCCCCTTCTTATAATCTGATAACCGAGGTTCAGCGAGGTCAAGTTTAGACTTTTCCAAGATCGCTTATCTGGTGGGTAGTTAGGATTTGATTCCCAGCCCCCTCCCTTTCCCTCAGAATCCCAGCCACAGCTGTTAGAATCAGGGTGCAAAGCAGACAGGCATCAGTTTTTCCCTTCTCCTCTCCCAACCGTGTTCTCTTCCGGCTTTTCTGAGACTCGCCCGACTTCGCAGCTGGCTGTCATGGAAACGGCTCCAGATTTGGGAACAGTTTTCAGAAGCTTCGCCAACAACAGGCCGCGACAGGCTGGGGGCAGGGTGTGTTGGCGGGGAGCTCCGTGGAAGGGGCCCAGCGGCTGTCGCCAGCCCCTCCCCGCGCCACCATGCAGGTCCCTCTGGCTTCCCGCGCACCCCCCGTGCCCCGGCACCCGCCCGGGGCCAGCCCGCGTACCTGCCCTCGAGGACCGAGCGCCGCCGCTGGGGGTTTGCCGGGACATAGCCGGCAGGGGGAGCGAGCCGACCTTGCACGACGTGGGGGAGAAAGCCCGGCTGGGCGCGCGCCCCGGGGCGACGCTAAGGGCCCTGCGGCCTGGCGGCTCCCCGTCCCCTGCCGCGCTCTCCGCTGCCAGGAGAGTCATTCTCGAACTCGGCACACATACAGCTCGCCGAGGCCTCCGAGCGTATTGGGAGAGGGCAGGTGGGTGGGCACACAAATAGGTGAGGCGCTCGACTTTGGTGGTTTGTGTTTGGGGGTATTCGCTACCGTGATTTGGGGGAACAGCATTCAGTGTCTAGATATCGGTCTCTGTACTTGTCTGTCCTTTGTTCTCCCAGGAGAGAAGAATCAACTACCATCACCAGAATAAGGTGCAGTTTGCCCCGGAACATGTCCGCTCACTTTATTTGGGGTTGCTGCTGCATCGTATATTTTTGTGCACTCAAATGTTTTGTGAGTTGGGGAATGTCCTTGCATCACCCAACGTGTTTGTTGGTCCGCGTGGAACAGGGTGTGTGGGGGTAGCCTTAGAGGTAGCCTCAAGAACCGTAGCCCCTTTGATGGCAGGGCCTAGGGTTGTGAGCTTGGGGACCGTGGACAGTAGAGACCCCTTTGGCCGCTCGCTCTCAGTCGTTGGAGTCTTTGCGTCCCTTTGTTTTCCTGTGCTGTCTGCAAGTCTGTGGCTGGGTTCGAGGTCTCCCAGGGATGAGCCAGACCTGGGCGGTTCAGAGAGCACCCCACGGGGAGAGTCGGCGCTCTGGTCCTGGTCTGGGCCGGAGCCCTGTGATGATGCACCCAGGAGGAGGCAGCTGTGTCCCTACGCTGGTGCAGAGCCCAGAGAGCCAGAGTGCCACGGACGCTGCTGGAGCGCGGGACACGGTGCGTGGAGTTTGTCCGGGTAACGGGATGCGCCCCCAGGAGCTTGAGCTGACTTGGACTGTATGCTCTAGGCTTTGCTGCCACTGCAAGCCGGGCCGTGAGGAGCTGTCCTGCCAGGAGGCTACGTTCCATACGTGTCCTGGATGGCATGGGACCCACAACTGCAGACCTCTCGGCATGCAGGCCCGTAGCTGGAGTGCTGCGCAGAATGCAGGGCGTGGGTGGGGTCCACCAGAGGGTTGTCATCTGGGACTGTGGAGGCAAGCTTATACTGTGGGGAGAAACCCGGAGGCTTAGACACTGAAATTCGAGAGATCTCTTGTTCAGCACTAAAATAGCTAAGGTGCAAGGTGGTGTTTCTGCTGCAGGAGGCCACAGGAGGGGAAAAGAGGTCAATAGCGCAGAGGGGAAGAGTACCTGCGGCTTTTATGGAAGCAGTGGGAACAGGTGGGAGGAGTAGGGGTGGGGGATAATTTATACAACTTTTTGAAGAATGTCCTCACTTGAGAATTCATTCATTACTTAAATAAAGCAAACATTGGTTGAATCTGCCCTGTGCCTACTGGCCGAAGTAGTGGGGATGTAGGGTTTTGCCTAAGGAGGGTGTGGGTGGAGGGGACTACTAATGGATCATCTTATTAGCTAATTGTGCTGGGAGGAATTGTTAAGGGATGCATATGAGGCAGGTATATCAGAGGCTGGAGGCTTGTGGATATTGCCAGGATTGTATCCCAATGGCACTGTATAGTGTAGAAATCGTCTTGGAGCAGGAGCAATAAAGCTCTTTTCTCTGCACAAAGATCAGCTCTGAGCTCTTTTTGCACTCCCAGGGGCTGAAGCTGCCCACTTAGGGAGGACTGAGGACCTACCTTTGAGCAAAGACAGGGATCTCGGTGCTGGTCAGACCATGTCTCCCAATGGATTGGCTGGTCTATTCAGAAAGGGCCTAGGTGCCCCTGGGAGCAAAGGCTATTGAGAAAATTCTAGGACATGGCTGCTCACACTCAGGCTTTAAGCAGTAGTGCCCAGCCTCACAGGACCAGAGTCCTTCCAATTGGCCTTTCTCTTTCTATTGACCCATCAGTGTCTAGGCTCATGCTTTCATGCCCCTTCTTGCCTCTTTTCTCCTAACAGCAGGCCTTCTGCCTTCCCAGTGGTCTATTCTTGTCTTTCCATTAGAACTCAAAAGCTCCCTGGGCTGCTCCTTTGCATTAACTCACAGTTCAACACATCTCTAAATTCTAACGTCTTCCCCATATTCCTCAACCTTAGGGTCCCTGTCTACCCAGCATTCTGCCTTGCTGTCCCCAGTTTAAGAATGCTGTTTCATAATATGCAAAGGCCTGCTGACCCCTAATAATAGGGTGGTGGGGAGGTCATGCTCTGATAGTGCCCCATTTGGGGCCCAGATAACCAGGAGTCAATAGAACCCAGAGTTGATGTTATAAGGAGAAGCTGGATATACTGCATTTTTGAGAGGGAGTAGAGATTTAAGGGACACCGGAAAGGCATTAAATTCATTAAGTTCCTGTCTTATTCCAAAAGAGACTGAAAGCAGTGTTTTTTGTAGGACTGGTTGCAAACAACAGAAAAGACATTGGAACTAAAGCAAAAAAGGGAAACTATAAGGAAGCAGAATGTCTCATAGGATACAAGGGTTCAGATGGATCATGGCTTTGGCAACTCTGGAAGCAGCAACTGGAAGCCTGGGCATTCCAGGTCATGTATGGTCTCCATCCCTCTTCCCTGCTTCTCTCTCCCATCTGCTTCAGTTGCTTTCCTACTACAACCTGGCTTTCTCTATTATTGCCAGAAACTAGCCCCTGCTAACTTCTCTGTGGCTCATCTGCTGGGGCTAGGAAGAGAGGGTCAGTTGTACAAGCATGGCTATTTCTGCTACAGTTTAGCCTGGCTGTGGCGGTGGGGGGGCTTTCTGAAAAAGGGAGGGCTGAGCAGGCATCCCACGGAGTGTCCATTACACTCCTCTCCCACAGGGCTGCTGCCCATGACACCAGGACACACACATACACCATCACAGTGTACACTGACATTACATACCCCAACTTCACAGCCCAGCTTTTCCTTATCCATGGTATTTCAAGGATGCCTGGGCCTAACAATCTATCTTTGTTATTTGAAACGACAAATAGTTCCTGCCTGTGCTGAAGGGACCCAGTCCCCAAACATGCCTGCATCTTTAAGCAGAGGTGAGGGCGGCTCCTCTGAAGGAATGGGCAGTCCCACCATAACTGTCCTGGGAAGTGGTTAATCTTGGGGTATCTGGACCTCTCCCTTGTGGGATATGTGGGTCTGGTCCCCACACCGAAGCCATTTTTGTCAGACTTTGGTAAAGTACATTGGCACAGGTGATCACAAGTGGAGCAGAATACAGAGCTTGAAGACAGCTCTGCTTTTACCAGCTGGCTACATCCCACCAGTTTAAAAAAAATAGGATTTATTGGAATTCAGTGGGTGCCATAGGGAATTTAAGAGAATAATTTCAGGCCTGGAAAGAGGAACAGAAGCCTATGTGGGCAGCTGGAGTCTGTCTGACAGTAAGGATGTCCTACTTCCAAATTTATGTTCTCAGCTCCACGTCCTGGGAATGTCCATGTCTAGAATGACAGTGAGCCACTTATCAGACAGGCACCTGTGTGGTAGGTAGGAGGGTGGGCTATGGAGCCAGCTTAGCAGGGGCTGAATCCCAACTCTACCACTTGCTCTCTGTGAGACTTTAGGGATGTTCCTTAACATCTCTCTGCCTCAGTTTCTTTGTAAGATGAGGATCATAGGAGTCTCCATCATAGGGTTTGTTATGGTTAATTGTATGTATCGACTTGACTGGGCCACAGTATCCAGATATTTGGTTAAACATCATTGTGGCTATTTCTGGGAGGGTGTTTTTGGATGAGATGAACATTTCAATGAATGGACTTTGAATAAAGCAGATTGCCCTCCACCAGCCTCATCCGATCTGTTGAAGGCCTGACTAGAACAAAAGACTGAGCAGGAGGGAATTCTTGTGGCAGATAGCTTTCTTTCCGAGTTGCACTGCAGTTTCAACAGGCTCTTTGCTGGGTCTCTAGCCTGACCCTGCAGATTTTGGATATGCCAACCTCCATAATCAAGTTCCTTCAAATAAATCTCTCCCTATAACACATCCTATGGGTTCTATTTCTCTGGAGAACCCTGAAAAATAAAGAGTTGTCCTTAAGTTTAATGATTTCCACATATAACACTTTTAGAATAGGGTGGGGACAGTGGCTGCACTAGCAGACTGTAACTTCAGTGTTTGCACATGTCTGGGTTCAGGTTCAAGGATGCCTTTGAATACACCCTTGGGCTATTGAAAATACCCTCAGACCCTCAGCAAGGGAGTGAGAGTTGTGTGAGTTTCCCCAAAGGTCAGGCACTCTAGCGATGGCATGGCAGGAAGTGGGAAGCTGCCCCCAGACGGCCTGCCTGCCATGACTCTACTATTGTCACAGCACCAGCTGGGGAGCTAAAACCTGGAGGACAGGGCCTTGGGGAGGCTTTGAGCTGTCAGGCTCCACCTGCAGTTTCCTGGGGGAGAGGATCAGAGCTTCCTCTAGGGGAATCTGGACTTTACCTTGAGAATGGCGCATACTAGAATCAATGAATGGACGCTGGTCCGTGCAAGGGGATGCCGGAGCAAGGTGACAGAAGTGAATAGTTTTGTCCTGACAGTATTCTCTCATGCTTCTGGGGACTTACAATAGGGCACTAGCCATTTGGAGAAGAAACAAAGTCTAAGACAAATATGGCATACATATTTTTTCTTTTAAAAAATAGCTGAGGACATCAAATCTAGAATCAAGTTATATACCTGCCACATTCAGCAGAAAACTGCCGACAACAGGCCGCTGATCTGGCTTCTGTTCAAATCAGCAAGGTCATTGTGCAAGCTTTCTTGTTATTAAAGTCATGGAGAGCCAGCGTTTTGGGTGCAGTCCTGACAGTTGCATGCTTTCTGCACAAGCTTATCTATTTTATTTGGGACCAGAAAGCAGCCACAGTTACCAAGATCTTAGAAGAGAACAGCCTTCTCAGGATGTATGGGTGTCCCGCTAGGCTCCACTTCCATTACCAGACAGCTCTAAGAGTTGGGATACAAAAGTTTGGGAGCACTTGCCTCTCCAGAGGATGATCCTGACAGCCAGCCAGCTCTAGTGAGCAAGTTAGTAGTGTGGCCTGAGCCAGAGAGTCAATGGGTCCCTCTGCACCTGCTTATGCAGTACCTGGTATTGAGGCCACAGGTGTGGGCCCTTCCCTTTTCACGTGTTTTAGCATTTGTGCACTAGCCCTATTGAATCCTCTTTTGGGGTAGTTGTGGGAGGTTGAGGAGATACTCTGACCTATCTCACCCACCCAGTGAGCGGTGACAGCAAGAGATCATACCTACCACTGATCGCATACTTAACTTTGTGCTGATCACAGATCGAAGCACGTACACACATAATCTCATTTAACCTTCCAAACAACCGTCTGGGCCAGGGAGGCCTTAGAAGACACTCTGCAGGGCCATGTGGTTGAAAGTAAGGGCAGTGGTGTGGTCCCAAGGGGACAGCAGGGGGAAGTGACTCTGAGCGGGGGGGTGACTCAGTGGGAGGGAGATCCAATCAACCTGTGCTTCTCGATCTTGGGGTAGCATGAGTGAGGCTTTGCTCTCCTGAGGTGAGAACAACATTGGTATAAATGTTTCAATACCAGTGAGTTCAATTCTAAGATTACTCATTCACTGGGGCCGTGGGGTGGCCCACTAATGTGGAGGTTGTTGCTAGGATGGTCCACAGTATCACGAGGATGGTATGGTGGCCAGGAAGGGAATGAACATGTCTCTGGGGAGAGTTCCTTTACCATCTGCCTATTAATAACCCTTAATACCCACCACAAGCCAGGCACTGTGCTAGGCCCTGAGACTAAATGGGCGAGCCCCTCAGACATGGCTCCTGCCCTCGGGGAGCTTACCTTCCAGTGGGGGGAGGCCGGCAGTGAAGTAGGAGGGACAATGCCATGTGCTGAGTAGTGTGGGGGGACAGAGGTGCTACAGGACCGCAGGGCCCAAGTCAGGCGTAAGGGTGCAGAGTCACTCTGCAGGAGGAGACATCTGAGCTAAGACCTAGACTCCTTTCCCTTTGTGACCTCCTCCTTTTTCCCCTCTCCTGGCTCTAGGAATCCACCTAGACTTTAGAAGCAACAAAGCACAGTTTGAACTAGTAAAAACATAAGCTCAACATGGACAAGTGAAAAACAGATCTGTTCTTGCCACTATTCACAAGCCATTCAACACCCCCAAGGTATCCGTTTCCATGGTCTCCAGCCAGAGGTGGCCAGCGTCCCCTACCCCTCCTTGCATCTGCCTGGCACAGGGCGGGCTCTAGGCTTAGCTGCTGTGGTCACCAGACTAGGCTCTTGGGTCAGGCTTCAACAAGGTCTGCAGAAGTCCTGCTGGCCCAGGTGGATGTTCCCTGAGCAGCCATCATCCCACCTGGACAGGTGGCCTGTGGAAGCCAAGAGGCATCATTCGAGTCCTGTAACCTTAGAGCCAGGAGGCAACTGACGGCAGCTTGTTTATAGATGAAGAAATGGAGACCCGAAGAACAGTCAGGCAGAGCCAGGACTCACAAAAAGGTGTTCAGACTTCAGCTGCCAGGCTTGTCAGGAGCGCCCCAGTCTCCACCACTCCACTTCTCCCAGAGCTCCACAATTAGATGAGGATGGGTCTCCCTCAGGGCTCGGTAGAGTTGATCTTTACAGGCCCTGTTCCAGGACCTGCTGAAGCTGAACAGGGTTCCTGGCTCTAGGAATCCACCTAGACTTTAGAAGCAACAAAGCACAGTTTGAACTAGTAAAAACATAAGCTCAACATGGACAAGTGAAAAACAGATCTGTTCTTGCCACTATTCACAAGCCATTCAACACCCCCAAGGTATCCGTTTCCATGGTCTCCAGCCAGAGGTGGCCAGCGTCCCCTACCCCTCCTTGCATCTGCCTGGCACAGGGCGGGCTCTAGGCTTAGCTGCTGTGGTCACCAGACTAGGCTCTTGGGTCAGGCTTCAACAAGGTCTGCAGAAGTCCTGCTGGCCCAGGTGGATGTTCCCTGAGCAGCCATCATCCCACCTGGACAGGTGGCCTGTGGAAGCCAAGAGGCATCATTCGAGTCCTGTAACCTTAGAGCCAGGAGGCAACTGACGGCAGCTTGTTTATAGATGAAGAAATGGAGACCCGAAGAACAGTCAGGCAGAGCCAGGACTCACAAAAAGGTGTTCAGACTTCAGCTGCCAGGCTTGTCAGGAGCGCCCCAGTCTCCACCACTCCACTTCTCCCAGAGCTCCACAATTAGATGAGGATGGGTCTCCCTCAGGGCTCGGTAGAGTTGATCTTTACAGGCCCTGTTCCAGGACCTGCTGAAGCTGAACAGGGTGCGCATCTGGCCTGGCTTTGTGGCCTCAGCCCGCACCCTCTCATACTGCTCCTCACTCAGCACTTGTCCGTGTAGCTTGTCCAGGACAGGGTCCACTGATGTCACTCGAGCCACCAGCTGCTCCCGATACTTGTCCACGAAGTGCAGCAAGACTGGGGCATCTGGGGGCGAAGGTGAGGCTGGCAGTGAACAAAGCAGCCTCCCACCACAGCCTCTCCCTCCCATTACCCACCTCCAGCTCCCCTTACCCTCCTCATCTGCATCCCTGGCTCCTTCTCCCCTGTAATGGAATTTGGCCACCAGAAAGGCCCCTCTGTCCTCCTCATGTCAGCATCTAGCCTAGCACTCTGCTTGAGCTGGGGCTGGGGTAGGGTTCACAATGGAGGCATTTGAGGCTATCTGGTGGGAGGTGCCAGGGGCCAGGAGTAAGGGGGATGGGAAGGATCTTGGCTGCAGGGTACACGCCACTCTCCAGGACCTGATCCCTTGTGAGGGTGGCAATGATGGAGTCCTCTCCTTTCTCTCTTCTCTCCCCTCCAGGACCAGATAGTACACCCGGAAGTGCCATGGCTCCTGTGGTCTCTAAGAGCTCTTACTGACCTATTAGGGCTGGAGGGACCAGAGTGGCTGCCGGTCTGAGATCTCCTGGAGGAAAACAGAGATGAGGAAGCATGTGTAACAGTGCTGGTTATTAACACACATGATGATCCCTGAAACTCTTACCCACTTCTGAGAGTCTTTCATTGTGAGACGAAGCTATAGACAAACTCTGATAGAACCTGAAATAAGGGCTGGAAGGGGCCTTAGAGATTATGTAGGTGACTCTCTTACGCTTATAGGGAACTGAGAACCAGAGGCCATGATCATAGTGTGTGTGTGTGTGTGTGTGTGTGTGTGTGTGTGTGTGTGTATGTGTGTGTGTAGGAAAGGTGTCCAAATGAGCAACACCAAGTTCTCCCACAAGCCCCCAGACATGGTTTAATACAGTCTTGGCCTGAATGGAACCCTGGTGGAAAACTAACCAAGCCCCTTGCTAGATAGCTTAAACTATTTGAGATCTCCTTATTCTGAGCAGAAGTCTACTTCCTTGCCTTTGTTTGGCCTTCTAGACTCACACAGACTAAATCTATTTGTTCTGGATTGTGGTGTCAAAATTGAATCAAAATCAAGAAAATCTTAGCACTTGGGAGTTTGGAAAACAAACAAACAATAGCAACAACTAAGGGGCTTGAACAATTCTTGCATAAGGAGAAAGGGTAGTCCAGAGCAGTTCATGTGGGCAAAGCCTGAGGGTATGAGCAGTCCCGCAGTGCATGTGACCTAACACTACAGGGAGGTGAACACAGGAAAGGGGAGCCTTGGCTGTGGTCCTGGGGGCACCAGGTTCATTTCACGGGAGGTGTTCCACATGCTCCGTGCCAACTGGACAGTCTTGGAGTCTCTCCTGACCCATCTGCAAACAGGAGCATTTACTGAGGAAGGTGACTGAGATGGTAATGAATAAAAAAAAAAAATAAGAAAAGGAATGATGGAAGGAATTGGAGATATTTAACTTGCATAAGAGGAGACTTAAGGGAGGCCAAGATCACAGTCTTCAAGTATTTGAAGGGCTTTCCCTTGGGTAAGGAGATAGACTTCCTCTGTAAGCTCCGAGGAACAGAATTAAGACTGTGAGGAGGAAGAGACTGGCTTAATACCAGGAAAAAAATATGTATATCCATCCCCCTTCCTAAGTCACATCCAATACTGCTGCAGTTCATCAAGGATCACTGTATGAGACAGTACATACAGTACTTTAATATTTCTAACAATCCCTCAAGCTAGGCATTATGATCCTCATACTGCAGATAAGGAAGCTGAGATTCAAACAAAGTAAGTAATTTTTCCAAGATCACCCAGCAAGGTAAGTGTTGGAGTGGAATTCAAACCCAGGTTGGATGCTGAGGGGCCAGTTAGTTCTCCACCTGTGGCTGCACCCAAGCCAAGGCTGCGCAAAACCCTCCTCTTTCCACCACACTGGGAAGCCTGCTTGTGGCAGCTCAGAAGGCAGAGTCACCATATTTCAACACCTGACAAAGGCTGGTTGTCCTAAAAGGACTGCTTAAGGGATTTTGGTTCTTGGGGGTTTTGGTGCTGGACTAAGAGACTATAAGATTTCATTCCTGAAATTTCATTATTTGATTCTCTCGTCTACCTTGAAAATATCTGAAAGATCCAGGTCAGAGTATCTGATATTGCCAAGATTGGCTTAATTAATACAACCATATAACCATCTAGTACTTATTCTTTCATCTTACATCCACGCCACCATGGGAAGCTATGCCAAAGGCCTTGTGGATGTCAAAATCTGTTAATTCAAGGGCAGCATGTAGACACTCTGCTGCATGGGAGAGAGCATGGGGCTTAAAGTCAGACTGGCTTGAGTTCACATTCTGGTCACACCAGCCGTTATATAACTAGAAAAAGCCCCATCACCTCTCTGGGCTATCTCTTCTCATCAACAAATTGTGATAATATACAAACTCTCTCTCTCTCTCTCTCTCTCTCTCTCTCACACACACACACACACACACACACACACACTTTAACTGGCTTTCCCTCCCACTCTGAGCTCCCTGGCTTGACTTTACCTGGTCTCACCAAGGCTTCCCATACCACAGCCCCATTTTTCTTGTCTCTTATTTGCAACCTGATCCCTGACGCCAACTGGTCAGTGTAGAACTCAGAGAAGAGCTGGGATTCTCCAGGACTCCGATAGCAGAGCTCTAGTTCCTGAAGAGAAGAAGGGGTGTCACGTGAGTTCATCCTCTTTTGAGGTCCTTCCCGCCCTACTCAACCTCACAGGGCCACACATGCTCTCATGGACTGAACCTCGTTGCCACCTTTAAACACTGCTCTTTCCCTGATTTTCTACCAATGCCGACTCAGAAGGGTGGGCACAGCTGGGTGCTCTGTGGGCGAGTCAGGCCTCATTTTTAAATGTATTGCTCACACAAACTAAACTAGATCCTTCTCTCCCCCATCTTGAACCCGAACTCTCATTTCTCCAGCCCAAAGTCTGTCTTCTCTATGGGTCCTAAACTTGGCCACTGTCAAGCAACAGAACATGTATATCCATCCCCCTTCCTAAGTCCATCCAGGACAGAACTCCTGACTCTTAACTCTTTTCTAAACATCTTCCCTCTCCAATTTCCCCAAACTCAGGAAGGGGCACTGCTGCCCACTGAGCCCTCAGACTGCAGATTGAGGCATCAACCTTAGCTCCTCCCTGTCTCTCCCCACATGCCAAGTCCTATCGGCTCTCCCTACAATTTACCCTGAATCCAACAGATTTCCTCCATCGTTACTGCTACCTCCCTAGTCAAGCCACCATCAACTGCCTGCAGTGTTGCAACAGCCTTGGGACTTGTCTCTGTTTTGACTCTTGCCCTCTTATCATCCATGTTTACCCAGCAGCAATAGCATCTATATGAAAATAAATTAGTGTGTGTTACCAGATTTAAGACCCTGCAAAACTTGTCACTGCACTTAGAACAAAATCTAAGCTCTGTGCCTGGGCTGACAGGGCTGGTGGGCCCTAGGCAGCCTTGGCCTCTTGCTGATCCCCCCTTCTCCTCTCTTTTGCTACATTCATCAGACTGTCCACATGCCTCTGTGTTGTCACCTGGGGCATCCAGCTCACTCCTGCCCCTATGCCCCTTCGCCTGAAGCGCTCTGCTGTGGATCTTCAGGTGTCTGGACCTTCTTGTCACTTGGACCTCAGCTCAAATGTCACCTCCTCAGAGACGCCTCCCCTGACCACCCAGTATAAAGTACCCCAAGTCACTCTCTTACATGGCCTGGCTGTGTTTTCTTCACAGCACTTCGTGGGTCTGGGTTGCTATTTCTTCAGTTATTTATGGAGGGCTCACCCCACCAGGAAGGCGTCTCCCCAAGGGCAGGGACTTGTTTGCTGTGTTCAAACTATCCCCGCTGAAGACAGCCCATTGGCAGGGGGTAAATGTTTTGTGGGGTGACTGAATCATGTCTCTCACTCCCTGTTAACTGACACAGCAGGAAAAGTCAAGGTATTCATCCCTGGATTCATGTTTCCCAACTCAAAAGATACATATCACTTCCTCTTAACTACTAGACATCTATTCCATCTGCCATTATCACAGAAGGTGGTTCAAAGACTCATCTCTGAAAGAAAAGAGGAAAAAGCCTCCTACAGGCTGCCAGTCATTGGATGTGCTGACCCTAAGCAGCAAAATCTGGGCAATGGTGAGGATTTGGACATCATGGATGAATGTCCAGAGGTCTGATGTCCTCATAGGCAAAAGGCAGACCGAGCAAGAACAAAAGGCAGCACCTGATGGTCCAGGAAGTGACCTGATAGCCACAGCCAGACCTTGGTGCTGACACACAATGACAGGGACTGCCAGCTCGGCTGTGCTGTCCTCCTGCGGACATTCACAGTCTTGCACACTATCCCTTTTCAGACAGGTCACCATGCAACCCACAAAATCCAAACATCCCTCTTCTCTTGCTAAATGCTGCTTCAGCAGGACAGCTTTCTCCTTGCCCTGCCTAGAGAGAAGAGGAATTGAGGTTCCCAGTCATGGAATGGCCTTTGCCTTCTAACAACACCCAACCTAGAGCAAGCCTCCATTTCCTTGACCTTCCCACAAATTACCCAGCCAAGCTCCAAATCTTATAATTTGTTCTTTCTAACCCTTTTTTGAGAGATCCTGCGGTTCCCGTGGTGCATGTTCTCTTGCTGCAGCGAATACTAAACCCAGTGTGTTCAGCTTCAGGCATGTTCCTGTGGGTTTTGACTGCAGGGCATTAATATCCTATAACCCAACACATCTTGGTGCCCCCAGGTCAAACCCCTCCTGAATGTGACTCTCCCTCCCACTAACTTCCTTTCTCCCAATCTTTGAAGATTCCTGGTCACCCACTTGTCTGCCCATCAGTTCACCCTGTTCCTGGAGAAGCCCTGAGACTGGCTCCACAAGTATCCCCAGTTTGACCTCTGATCCTGGGGAGGGGTGAACATCCTGGGCTGCTCACCTTGGGGATTATTTCCAGTTTCTCTGAACCAGACACAGTGTAACGGGAGCCCATGTAGAAGGAGGTCAGTGGGGGTGGCTTGTGTATTCGCACAAACTGGAATTTCTTTTCTTCATCATCTATGGCCTGAGAAAGCATACAGAACGTGTGTGTCTGGCATCCTGCTCAAAGATTATGCCCCATGGCATCTGGAGTGAATGAAGGTTGGCACCCCTGCACCTCCCTTCCCCCACATGCTGCTACACAGAGAGCCCAAGCACTTGGCCTCTGCTATGTTCAGGATGGGAACTGGAGCATTGCTAGAGAAGAAGTGGGAATGGGAGAAAGGAGACAGTTCTGGGCATGGAGCCTTCCCATCCTTTTGACTTCTGGGAAGAGGCTTCAAAAAGCTGTCTAGAGATGAGTATGGAGCAGCAAACCCAGGTGGAGACCTCAGAGAGCTGGGAGCCAGGATCCCTGTCCGCAGCTGAGCTGGTCAGGATGGTTTGCCCACTTCTAGGTTCCCGCTTATTGGAAGTCCACCCTTGTCCCCAGTTGGCTCAGCAGGGGGTGCTCTGGCTGCCCTTCCTTTTGGCCTACAGTGCTCCCCCCACCCCCTCTGCCAGCCTTTCCGGCTCTAAGGGCCACCTTCCGAATGGAGCAGTCACTGGGGATCAGGTAGAGGTGGAAGGTGACTTCCTGAGGATGGAGGTGATGGTAGAGCAGTACGGTGGCAGTGATGGGGATGAAGCGCAGGGCGGCATGGATCACTCTCAGTACAACGCCCACGGGGGAGAAGCTGGGGTTTTCCAGGACTATGTAACAGGGCTCCACCCTTGCTGGCTTCTCCAGGAGCATCCCCTCCTCTTTAAAGTGGGCCACTTGGAACAGGCTGATGTCCACATGGCTTCCTGTCAAAAAATGGATTCGAGAGGTGAGGGTTTAGTGCCCCTGATTGGGTAAGGCTTGGCCAGGGCAGTGGGGTCCTGGGGCATAGGCTTGGGTCCTCCCTGGGGGACCCAGCCAAGGAAGGAGACATGCCTTTGAGGGCTGCAGGCAATAGTGTCTGCAGGGTGGGGGCACTGCAGGAAGCCCCACAGGCCAAACCCATACACAGGCCCAGATCCTGCCCCTGGAGCTGGGAAAGATATTGACCCCAGGGTTGCCTGTGCTGGTGTGGATTCTGTAGCTGTGAGGGCTGCTGAGAGATGCTGGCAGGTTTGACTCCAGGCAGGTAGAGCACAGGGAAGTGGGAAAATGGAGTAACTAAGGTTAGTGTCTATTTTTCAAGTGTTTGGCTGCCTACCATGCAGACTCTTTTTTGTGTGGAGAGCGTCTCCCCCCACCATTGTGTGGGTCTTGGGAGGAGACAAGCTGGGCCTCCCCCTTGGGAAGCTGCTCTAACATAGGCACATGGCCAAGACTTGATTAAGTAGCTGCTCCTCATCAGGACCTTGATACAGAGGGGGTGAAGCCCAGATGAAAATACAGAGATTCTTTTGTTAGCAGCAGTGGGGTGGAGCCCAGCGCCCGCCATGGCAGGAGGGTCCTGCAGTGTCTGCAGCAGAGTTCCCTCCTTATTTTGCTTGGTGTGACCTTGGCTGTGTCCTTAGTCTCTCATCACTCTTTGGTCACTGCCTTCTTTTAAAAAACAAAGACTTGTTGCCTTCTTTTGTTAAGTCTATAAGCTATTCAAGAATCATTCTCTACATTTTTTTTCTGCCTTAATCAGCCAGAACTGGTTTCTTTGATTGCAGTCAAGAACTCTGAGCGACGATGCATCAGGTGAGGACATGGATGCCACAAGAGAGGGCTTGAGGAATGCAGGATGGTAGGGGGAGAGACACTGGCCTAGAGGTCAGGAATCCGAGCTGCATCTCTGCGTTGCCTGGCAATTTGTGGCAATGCAGGTGGTTTCTGGGCAACAGAGGGAAACATTCAGCAAGCCGGACAGGGGACACCAGGCATAACGTCACTGCCCGATGTTAATCCCAGAAGGGGCCATGGAGACCGTTACTTAAGTCTTCTCATTTATTCCTTGCTTTTTTTTGTGTGTGTATGAAAAGTAATAGCACAGTGGTGTATACCGTCTGAAAAAATGAAGATGCCTTCACCTCAGATCTCACCAAACAACACATCCAGGATTATACCATCTTTCCCTTTTCCATTAGTCTTTCTCTGCAGCAACACCTTTTCATGTTTCCATCCTAGTTCATGCAGCTTTGCCTCTCGCCTTTCCCGGAAAGAGTTTAAATAGTCACAGGCATCTGTCAGACCTTCCTAATGACTGCAGCATGTGACCTCTGCTGGTGGGATGAAACATCCTGTAATAAAAAACAACCACTGCCTCGTTTGTTGCAGCGTTGATGTTGTTTCCAGTTTTCCGCCACGATAAACAGTACTGCAGCGCGCATATTTCTGCAGAGAGCTTTTCTTTCCCTTGGGCTGTTGCCTGGGAATCAGTAAGTCCCAAGGGATGAGAAAAGCATGTGGAAGGATGCAAACATTTTTATGACCTCCCGTGTTTTGCCAAATTGCTTCTCTAGGAGGAAGTGCCACTTTGCACTGCCACTGGTGACACCGAATGGATGCTCTAACCTGACCCTCACGGCACTGAAATGTCCCTGCATGTTAGCTGGTGGAACTGAAACCCTTGGGGGGAAGTGATTTTCCCAAGGCCACATGCCAGTCACACTAGGGCCAGACCCCTCACTCTGATCATTGTCCATATGGACTCTCTGCACCACTCTCTATTTTTGGCTGAATTCTGGGAGGTGCTATGTGCCTCTGAAGCTCACCTTGCTAGGGTGACCAACTGTCCAGGCTTGCCCAGGACTGAGAGGGTTGCTCAGACACAGGGCTCAAATCAGGAAAATCCCAGGCACACCTGGGGGAGTTGGTCACTCTATTTCACAAACATATTGCCCTTTCCATAGACATACGCATATGTCGCAGAAGAATTTTCTCTAAGCCTGCTGACCAGCAGAGTATTTGTGCTGGTAGATTGGAGAGAGAAGGAAAACAACAGGGACAATCCTGGTCTGAAGGGGCAGAGGCTTGACTGGGGCAAGTATTGGCAGAAAGTCATCTGCCTGGAGTTGTCTTCTGTGCGTCTCATTAGAAATATGCAGAACCAGCCACCTTGGGGTGGGGTGTTTCTGTGGCAATAAATCCAGGCCCTATGGATACAGCTGTGGACAGGGATGACACAGGCATTGCCATCCTGGAGCTAGAGGTCCAACAGGGAAGAGAGACAGCAAATAGAACAATGACCAGTGTCACAAATGCTGTCCCTCCTCTTTTCCCAGCCTCGAGCCACTGTGGCTCCCACTGTCCAGGGGCCTGGGGGCTCTCTTTCCTTTAGACCCTGCCCCTTGGGCATGTGGCCTGATCCTGTGGCCCTGCTCTCCCTGCTGAGTGTGTCACTAAAGGCTCAGGTGAGCTGTTGAGGGGCAAAGCGACTATCCTGCTCAAGGAAGGACTCGGGGATCCCCACCAGCTAGAGGTGGGGGTGTAGAGAGCTGTTTAGCAGGGTACTGATGCAATGGCTGCTGGATTTGACTCCCAGCAGAAGCACTTACCAGCTCGGAGTGTCTGAGCAAGTTACTTAACCTCCTTGTGCATCATCTGCAAAGTGGAGCCAACAGCCTCCACCTCCTAGTTGGACCGTGAAGACTGAAGGAGTGTGTCCGCAAAGCACTTGGAGTAGCAAAGGTTCCCTGTTATGATTATGGGCAAAATGTGGCCTGACCAAGGACATCATAACTTGGCTATTGTGGTTCTTTCTATTTCTTCCTTCAATGGCTTGGCCCACTCCTCCTGGTAACCCTTGGCATCTGTGAAGAAACAGGCACTAAGAGCTTCTGAAGATGCATTTTGCTGAACCTCAGTCATTTTGGGACTCCATCACTGCACAATTCAGAAGGTGTTGGTTCCAGAGAGGCAACAGTTTTTTGAAGCATGTGGGATGACACAGTGGTGCCCAGCCATCTGGAGCAGCTGTGTTCCTGGGACAGGGAGGGTGGCAGGGGAGCTGGGAATGATCCCACTCAGGTGACTGGCTGTGTAAGCCTCCTTCTCCCCCATGGACAGCACAGAGAGTGAGCACACCAAAGTGAATCAATTCACTTTCCTGGATTAATGGCTGCATGGAGAGCAGAGGTCTGCATGTGCTGAGGGAGTTGCATGGTGGGGGAACAAAGGACCCAAAAGGGCAGGGCTGGCTTCATGGGTGCATGGCCCATGCAGTCAGACACAGCTCTGCGCTCAGAAGGGCCTTGTGCATGATTTAATGCTCTATTATTGTCTTGAAACTCTTAATTTTTGAAAAAAGAGCCACCCGCTTTCATTTTGCTCTGGGACCCGCCGGTTAGAGGTGGTCCTGTGGGAGTATGAGATTGCCCAGATCAGCGAGGCCTGTGAAGCTGAGATGCCAAAAGCTCTAAGTTCTAGTTATAGTGGGAGAAAACTCATCGTAGAAGTTAATAACTTGATGTAGGACCTCACCAGTGACAGTAAGGAAGCAGCCAGGGTCCACATTAGGCAGTGAGGTCATCGTTTCCAGGACAAAAAGCAGCTGCAGCCCAGACAACAAGTGGCTGAGGTCCCTGGAAGGGGCATGGTTCCCTGGCTGGGCATGGGCACAGCAAGCTCCAAGCAGCCTTTGTGCGTACTGCCTCTTGCTCTGTGTACAGAATCCGAAGGGAACAAGTCCTGTCTGGCCACAGGGTGAGGTCCAGAATGTGGTCCAGAGAAGGTTGGTGGGAACTGGGCTTGGGCAGGCCTGGGGTGGGTGTGTGGTTAAAGGGACCTGAGTTAGAATCCCAACTCTGGCCGAGCATCTTCAGCTCTCTGAGCTTCCGTTTCCTCATTGGTACATAAAGGGAAACTATAGTACCTAACTCACTGGGTCATTGAGAAAATCGTGATGATATGAATATAGATGGAACTGCCTTGCATGATATCTGGCATAGGATGCCCAGTATTGCTCATGGGTGTTATCATTAGCCATGTCCCAGGAGCACTCAAATGGAAGTGCCACTAACTTGCTGATTTCACTCCTGTCCAGATCTCGCCCATTGCCTGGTAGGCTCAGGCTAGATTCCTGTGTGCTTGGAGAGCCACCTCTTCCTTGGCAAGTCCCGTTTCCCAGGCGCATCAAAAGGATGTACAAGACTGATCGGGCACAGCTGGGGTGTCCTCATAATGGAGACGGGCTTCTGGCTCACCTACTTTTGAGAGGGTGAGGGTGGTGTGAAGGGGGCTGGGAGCAGGAGTGAAAGGCAGCTGTCCTCTCTCCCTGTGGGTGCATCCTGGCTCCAGTCTTAGATGCATGGGGATGTTCCTAGGACATCTTGGTGTAGAGCAGGGAGTGACAGTGTCGCCCCAAGCATCTCAGGCCGAGGGCAGACCAAGTTGTGCCACTGCTCTGCAGAGCTCAACCCACTGGCTCCACTGTCCACACCTCTCTCTTTGTGACAGAACCCCTCGGGAGTCCCCAGGCCAGGGTCTCACCCTATGGGGCAGGGTGGTAACCGTAGAGGCTGTATTTATTTATCACTCTTTGGATGGTCAGGTGGGAAGAAATAATTTGTCCCAGCTTGTTGTTGGGGCCCTCCGTGCTTTTCCCCCAGCTATTCCCCATGCAGATGGACTTACCCAGCCCGAGAGCGATCTCACTCCTCCCTCCTCCATGCTTTATTCTGGAATATTCCCTAGTGACCCTGTCTGCCAGGCCAGATGCCTGTGGACTCCTGCATCCTTTTCCTTGGTCCTGGCCTTATTTCTAAGTTTTTGTGGTCTCAACAAAAACTTCCCTGCTCCTGGGTTACAGGGAGGTCCTTGCTTTTCATTTTTCTCATTTCTGTTTCTTCTTTCTCCTAGTTTGTAAATTATTCTTCTTACGTATAGATTCTTTGATTGATGACCTAATATTTTAATGTGCATACTTCGAGTTAAGGCAAATCAATAACCTTACCTAGAGGTGATACTAAATATATTTAGTGACTCAGATGGCACCATAAGTTAATATATCAATCAATTCATAAATGAAACACTAAAAATATATCCCTCTTTGTTCTCTAACAGAACCATGCATTTCATAAACATGCTTACCACTGATAGAAGCTGTACCAAAAGTTCTTGATCAAGTCATTCTAGGATAATTAAATGAAGCTCCTTGTCTGAGTCATGATTTAACACTTTCTCATTAAATTGATTGACTTAAGGTCCTAGGCTCCAGGCACTGGGTGTGCCCCTGATGCCAGCTGTGCCCACACGGCCCAGTGTGGAGAGCGTGGCCCACAGTGCCGGTCAACAACGCTGGTTCTGCTGCCCAATAGACTCAGACACTCCTGCCAGCCTGGTCTGGGCTGGAGTGAGGCTGCCTCGACCGCCCATCCATGTCTGCACCCCACCCAGGCCCCAGTACTCGCCTCTGTGACCGACACGGTGGATGTTGTTAGATCGTTTATGGTCTCAGAAAGTGGAGAGTTTCACTTTCCTATACAGAAGTGTTTCTGCATTTTTAACCTGGACCGGCACAGCCTTTACCTTCCTTCTGAATTACTCAAAGACCTTAGAATTCTTTAACACTTTAGTTTGCTATTGTTGCAGGCATTTTAGTTCTCTCTCTCAAGTCCCCTGTACCGGACATTACTTGTTGCTCCATCCAGTCAATGTTTTGTTAGATTTGTCCATGCATGTCTTAGGAAATTGACTGCTCATTCCACCTTGCATCTCACACCTTCCACGTAGCATCGTTTTCCTTCTGCCAGAGGTACATCCTTTGGAATTCCCCTCAGGATCGATTTGTTTGTGGAAAGCTCTCTGGTTTTTAGTTTGTCTCAAGAAGTCTGTTATTCTCTCTTCTTAGAAAAATAATGTTTCTGTGTTTACAAATCTTGATTGACAGTTATTTTCTCAGTGCATTGAAGACACCACCGTTTTCTCCCTTCCATAGCTGCTGTCAAAAATCAGTTTTCAGCCTACTTGACAGATAACTTGTCTTTCTTTCTGGCTGATGTTAGGACTTCACTCAGACTTTGGGACTCCGTAATTTCACTATAATGGGTCAAGGGCTGGTTCCTTTCTCTCTCTTGCTTTGGAGTTTCGGGATGTTTCATTCTGAGAAGTCACATCTTCCAGCAATTCTAGAACTTACTCGGCAGTTCTCTCCTTGAATATAGCATCTTCTCCATTCTCTCTATCACATCCTTCTGGATTCTGATTCCATGTGTGCTAGGCCTTCTCATGGTATCATCCATCTTTTTTTTTTCATATTTTCTATAAATTTAGTTTGTTTCCAAACTTGACTTATCATTTTTAGTGGCTTATTACTTCTTGCTCCTTTTTTTAAGTCTACTTATTTCTTTAAGCATAGGAAGCCTACTTTATTTTGTGTTCTGTTTCTGATCATTTCAATATATGAAGTCTGTATGGCTTCTGGCCCCTGTATTTTCCACTGGTTCGCATTTATGGTGCCTGGTTTACTGTTTGTGAGAGTTTTGACTGTGAACTTCTATTTTTTGGGACTTTTCTGTGGGAAGTCTTTGGAGGCCAGAGAGGCTGAGATAAGTCTGTTACCCTTTATGGCTGCATTCCTACTGCAAAGGCCCTGTTTGATGGCTCCGCTCTCAGATGGGTCTGGTGACTGTGTCTTCTCCCTGCCTGCAGGAGGAGTCGTGGCTTTCCCTTTGTTGCTAGGCCCTAGGTCTCCCCACATTCCTGGGAGTTCACTTAGCCTTACTTTGCAAATAGTCCTGTCTTTGAAAACTCTTCAAAAATCTCAACTGGGTCTATCATCTTTTTCCTGCTGGGACCATGACTGACAGTCTGAGTAAAAAGCACTTAATAAATGCTAGTTATTATTGTTATTGAGTAGACCACTTTCTATTTAGGGAAACTTTCAAGTAATTCAGGAAAAAATAAATGATGAGCCTAGAGACAGACATGCTGCAAAAAAGGTGTGCCCAGAGCACTGTGGAATGAGGGGAAGCTGTCTCCACTTCTGTAATCCTCTCAGTCTCACTGAGGCAGCCATGAGCTCCTCCCTCAGGATGCTGCCATCCCAGGCCTATCAGTACCACCTGCCCTCTCACCCTCCCTCTTGCTTACCTTGGAGGGACACAAAGTGAGGGAGGTACACAGCCGCCAGGGCTCCTGGCTCGGCCTTGATGTCAAAAAGAGGCCCTGCAGGCACCCAGCTGTTCTGTGGGGCAGATCTGTCCAGGAACTGGTCCCAGGCACAGAATTCAATCTCGATGGTCACTGGCCCTTTTGCCACAAACTGGAGACCTGTGTTGGGCCAGTGGTAGGAGCCGGCCACAGGGAAGCGCACTCTGGGAGGAGAAGGGAGAGACAGACACTGACTTACTCTGCACCAGCCCACTGAGCACCTGCTGGCTGCCAGACCCCACGCAGGACACTGGGTCTAGCAGAGTGGCTACAAGCCCAGGCGTCAGAGCCAGATGGATTTGGGTTTGCGTCCTGGCTTCTCTGCTGTCTGACTGTGGACCCCTGAGCAAGCCACTGGACCTCCCTAATCTCAGTTTGCTCATCTGTAAGTAGGGATAATAATTGCGCCACCCTCACAGGGTTGTGAGGAGCCAGTGGCCTCAGCATGCTGACAGTTTAATATATGCCTGCAGGAGGTGAGCTGCTTCTGTAACAAAGATGGCGATGAGGATGCAATAGGGCCTAATGGCCAGTGATTAAGAACAATTACATGGTTACATTAGTGATAAACCCTTGGGACTAAAAACACTGTACAGAGATCTTAGGTGACTTTCCCAAGGTTCCCCATGTGGTAAACGGTGGGGTCCTGGGATGTCTTATGTAGGTATAAACTGGATGTGACATTATCACTCAGCTGAGAACGCCTGTGACAGCATTTGATGAATGGTAATGTGTTATGTAAGAGATCGTGAGTATGACTGTAGACATTTATTCCTTATGACTGTAAACCTTTGGAAGGAAAGGCTGTCATTATTATCTTAGAGCTCCTAGTTGCCAGTATGGTACTGAGCACATAGAAGATACTAATAAAATAGGAGCATATTGATGAAAAGAGATGTAAATGAAATTTAAGAGGTATAACAAGCCAAATACAGTGAGTGGACTTTGGTTGGATCCTGATTAGAGCGCATCACTTGCAAGGACACATTTTAGATAGTTGAGCACATTTGTATATGGATTGGGTGATTTGTATATGTATCAAGTGATTTGAAAGACTTATGTAAACTTTGTTCAACGTGCTAATGGCATGTAGTTTCAGATGGAAACATCTTTGTGGTTTTTGGAACACATCACAAAATATTTAAGAATAAAAACCATCCAACATCTTGGATTTAAAATACTGTAACAACAACAAAAGAGGGGAAAGTGAACAGTTGAAATAAATTTGGCAAAGCAGTTGTTCAGCTGGGCAACATGTACGTGCAAAGTCCCTGGGTTCTTTCTTTGGTGTAGGTTTGAAAAATTTCATCAGAAAACTGCCTTTCCCATAATAAAAGCACCTACCCAGGATCTCAGCCTGCTGCCCGACCCCCCGATTTGTCATCTGGGAAGGGGAGGGGATCCCATGAGCCAGGGTGGGGTGCTATCTGTCTGCAGGACCCAGGGTGGGGATGGCGGGGTGGCAGAGGCCTGCCTGGGACAGCAGAGCCCTTTACTCACTGGTATAGGCTTCTCTCTTTGTCAACCACCTTGGTAGCCACAGGCCCCGTGGGGCCCCAGAAGTCATCTTCAGTCCCCAGAGGCTCCTTGTGTGGGTCCCCAGGAGGCGCAAGAGACGACAGGCAGAAGGGTTCCACCTGTGCTACTTGAGGGGAGCTTCCCTCTGGAAACGGCAGGGCAGAGGTCAGTTCTGGCTTCTCCTGCTGGGGGTCCCCAGGCCTCAACGCTGGGCCATGGGAGGCCCCTCCCAGGGTGGTGTCTGCAGCCTCCGTCCCTGCTCTTGGGGGTGCGGCCTCTCTCTGAGGGGGCCCGACCCTGCTGCTCCTGACCCAAGCCCCATGGCCCAGAGGTGTTATTCTGCCTTAGCATGATGTGGGCGGACATGGCTCAAATGATGGCGGGGCTGTGGTGGAGAGGTGATTCTCAGGCCTTAGAAGCCCAGAGTGGGCCTTGGAGACTGGGGCCTGGTTCAGAGGCTGAGACATGCCACCTGTGTTTTGGGGAGGAGCAGCCCTGCCCCAGGAGCTGGGAGAGAGGGAAGCAGAAACCTGCAAGCCCTAGGAGTTGAAGGCTGTGCATGGGGTGAACTCTTTCCAAGTGGAAAACTGCCCTGTCCCACACCAGAGGCAGAGGGATGGAGGGGGTGACCTCCCACAGCTGCCCTGCGAGCCACCCTGTCAGCATGCTCCCAGCCTGGCCCCTTCAGATCACCTGATTTTAGTCTCTGCCGCTTGAGTGAAGATGTGTCACTCTTTTCTTCTCCACCTGGGTCCTCTTCAGGAGCACTTGTTTTCCTAGACACAGAGCTGCTCATTCTCTCTGACATCTTGGAGGGGGTGGGGACTGTCTACCTGACGTCCCCATTTAAATCCAACTCATCTTCTTGAACTCATGGCCACTGGTCCTTCTCCTGCAGTGTGAGTCTGTGACTGGCCCCCAGGTGCCTGTCCCAGGGCATCACCGCGGCTCCTTCTGTGTCCCTCCGAGAGCTGCCTGAGCGCCCCGTCACTACCTAGCACATGGCCCTGCTGTCTGTCCTCTTCTCCCACCTCCATGGCCTCTGCCCTAGTCCCAGGCTCTGGCATCTGGCTCAGACCATAGTATCCCTCTGGCCTTGTTGCTCTCCAGCCCATTTTCCATATAACTGATCTTCACATATGAATCTGGCACATTATTTTGGGGCTGAAGCCCTGAAATGTCTCTCCACTGCTTTTGGGGTAAAGTGGAAAGTTCTTAACACGACCCAAAAGGCCTTTTTGTGCCTCTGCCCCACCTCCCACGCGCCAACCCCACCTGTGCCACTCTCCCCTGCTCACTCACCTCTAGCCCAGGGGTTCTCAAACTTGGTGCAAAAAGTCACTCAAGGGCTTGTGGAAACACAGATTCCTGGGCCCACCCCGGAGATTCTGATTCAGCAGGTCTGGAGTTGGGCCTGGGAATTTGCATTTCTAGTGAGCCCTGCCCAAGGTGACTGCTGCTGCTGGTCTGTGCAGCCCACTTTGAGTAACACTGCTCCAGACAACTGGTTGCCTTCTATTCCTCAAAAAAAGCTAAGCTCAGAGCCTCTGCCTCTGCCTGGAATCAATCTCTCTTGGCCCAGCCGACCCTGCCCACTTTCAGAGCTCAGCATGTTCCTCCGGACAGGGTCAGACAGACCTGTTGATGCATTCACACCTCCACTGGGTGTGCTTACAGGTTGGGGGATGGGCCTGTCTCCCTGCTAGACTGAGCCCCTGAACATGGGCTCTTGTTCACTGTGGGGTGCCTGTCACACACGGTGGGCCTGCAGGGAAGCTTGTCCAGTGAGGAATGGCTCTTCCTCCTGAGCCTAGGAGCCCTTTCCCTTCCATTTCAGGTGAGGCAGAGAAGCCAAGAACCCTGGGCAGATGCACTGTGCACTCACAGGCCAAAATGCACCATACTTGCGGAACCTGGCATTGAGGGGAGGGGGCCGGCTGCCGTAGATTGCTCAGGAGCCAGAGGAACTCTCCTACCCTGCAGGCTCACCCCTGAAGCCCCAGGAGAGTGTCTGGAGGTGTCTGTGTGTGTGGGTGGTGGGGGTGGGCTGATCCCCAGGGCTCTCCCTGTCTCTGTGTCCCCCTGGTGGTCACTGCCTTCCACTTTTCAAACCTCACCCACTTAGCCGTTCACCGCTTTTCATTTGTTCATCTCCTTGCTGGAAGATGCTTCAGGCCGGAAAGGTTTAAGCAGAGGAATGATATGATTCTATTTACACTAAAAGAACAACCAAGCCATACCCAGGCTGCTGTGGTTTCTGTCTCTGTCTCCACCCCACATCTCTTTGCCCATCTCTTGGTTCTGGACTGGCCTCGGGGTCTCAGCCCTGTGCCAGGGTCAGCTGGAGGGAGTTCTGGGTCCCCCCACCCCCCTTACCATCTGTTGGAGATGAGCAGCCGAGGCTTCTCCTCCTCCAGGGCCCTCAGCATCTCTGTCACCTCCTCACTCAGCTGGGTCTGGTCCAGCCTGCAAGCACAAAGGAAGCCTGCTTGTCCCGGGACACCCACATGTTCCCGAGGTCCCCAGGGCTCAGAATCCTGGCATTTGCCACTTCCTGCAGGAACCTGGCGCATGTTGGGTTTCCTGGGTTCCCTGAGATGGAAAGTAGAGTGAGGAGACTTACTAGGGAGTGTTCTTGGGTCAACCCCAGGGAAGGGGAAGGGAGGTTGATAGAGGGAGAAGCTGGGCTGCAGTGCAGTCTCCATGGAGCTGACTCTATGGGGGTTCCAAAGCAGTGACGACCCTGCAGAGTGCTTCCCAACTGGGATGAGGGGCTGGGTCTTTATACCTCAACACAGGCCCACCCTAGGAAGGGGATGTGGTCTTGACCGAGAGGGTCTCATCGACAGCCCCTCCCAGTGGTTAGGGGTCAAGTTTTCATCCCTGCAGGGGGTCTGGGCAGTGCTGCACAGCACCCACCACAGGACAGCCATTCCTGATGGCCTCAAGGTCACCACTGGTGGGTCCTGGGATTTTCTTCCTGGAGGGTAGAAGGGTTGCTGGGAAGAGGGCACCCTGTTTCCATTCCCACAGACCTTGTGTTCCAGGGATTTCCTCTGGGCCTCTGCGTCCTCATTGCTAGCACAGGATGGACCTGCTCTGCCTGTTGTGAGTCACAGACAAGGCAGCAGGTGACAAGCCCGTGCACCCTACATGGGGCAGGGCACACACGCCTCACTCATCACTGCTATCAGATCTACTCTTCCCTGGCCGGGGAGTGGAGCCCACCACGTAAAAGGTTGTCCCAGAGCTCCTGGAGGGCAGGGGGCAGAAACCTCTGTGAGCTGGCTGCAGTGTGAGAGCAGGACCGGAAGCGTGGGGATGCAGAGTGTGTGACAGGCCCCCGTCGAGAGCCCCAGGGAAGCACACGGCCAGAAGCAGCCTGTGGACGTCTTTCAGGATGTGGAGGAGAGAGGAAGTGGCCAAGAGACAGTGAGGGGGTGGTGGCTCAGGGAAGGATGTGACTGGGTGGGCCTGCAGGATGGGGAATGAGGAGGGCTGGGGCTCGCTGCCCTGCCGCCGCTGAAGTCTCCAGGGCTCTGGGCCTGTTTCTGTCCCGCAGTCTTCCCCCAGGCCATTCTCTTGGCTGGACTGCTGCCCGGGACTGGGCCTGGTCACCTCTGTTCCTGTGTTTCTGCTTTGGTCTTGGTGTGACATCACTTCCTCAGAGAAGCCCTCCCTGGCCCCTCAATTTAATTCCATAGTTCCCTCATGCTATGTGTGCATAACACCCTGCACTTCCCCTTCACTTGGAGCTTAGAAATACATTTCTATGTATTAATATATGACTAACACCTTTCTCATCCCCATAGGACGTGCAGCCTTACTCATAGTTATTGCTTAATCCCGCCCCATTCTCTTCCAAGCATTGTCTTAGATTTTGCATGTATTTTATTTCATTGGAGTCCATGAGGTGGATATGATAGCCCATTACTCAGATGAAGAAGCTGAGTCTCAGATGAAGACCTGCCCAAGTCACATGGCCTGAGAGGTGGAGCTGGGAAGGAACCCGGACCTTGATCTGTCCCTTTCCTTTCCCCGTCCACTTCCACAGCACCCACATCCCTTGCCAGTACACCTTGCTCCCCTGCTCTGCCCTCTGCCCAGAAGGTGCCCACAGGGCCTTACTGCAGGAGCGTGAGTTGGCAGGCAGGGTCCCTGAGCCCTTGGCAGAGCAGCGTCGCGCCGACATCGTCCAGGTCATTCTGCCGCAGGTCCAGCTCTGTCAGGCTGGGGCTGGCGCTGAGCACAGAGGCCAGGTCCTGGCAGCAACTGGACGTGAGGCAGCAGCTGACCAGCCTGTAGGAGAGACGGACGTGGGCCCCCAGTCATCGTCCCCCAGTCGTAGTCCCGGAGCCCCGCCTCCTTGGGTAACTGGAGTCTAGTTCCCCGTTTTAGTACCTGCGGTGTTTTGGAGGTTTCCGGGGAGATACTAAAGGAAGACCAAGACTTGTCTGTCTTGCAGTAACCTTGGGCATTTTAATTTTCCTCCTGCAGCCAAGGAGCCACTCAGGAAGTAGGCAACCTCCTTTCTCACCCTGAATGATTCCCACGAATCCTGCCCACTCCTCCTATCAACCTTGTAAGATTCATTTGCCCAATGTTCCTCCTGTAAACCTGGCTCTAATCGTTAACTGTATCGACCATGCTAAATGCCCAGAGGTGGCTGACATGGGATGCTCTGGTGGGTTTCAGCAATGCAGGAGAAACAAGAGTGGACGTCTAATAGGAGAACAAGTGTTAAAGGGCAGTGTGATAGCTGCAGGCAGAATTGAGGGCCTATCCTGGAAGCCCCCTGAGTCCCCACCTTCTCTCTACCCCACGTGGAGGTAGGGCTCTCCCTCTGCCTCCCTCTGCCCACCCCCACTGAGAAGGGCCCGAGAGGAGCAGTTACAGCAGCTGCTGGAGCTTGCAGCCTGGCTGCCTCAGCTCCATGCAGAGGTGCTCAACGCCAGCATCTGTGAGCATGTTGAAGCTCAGCTCCAGCTTGGTCAGGGTTTGGCTGGCACCCAGCCCAGATGCGAGGTCTTTGCAGCCTTCAGCCGTGAGCCCACAGCTGGCCAACCTGTGGGAGACACACGCCCATGGCCTTGAGTTTACTCACTTACTGATCCCACAAACACCCACAGCACCCACTGAGCACCCACTCTTGGCCAGGCCTGTGCGCCAGGGGGAGGCCAGTAACACCCCCAGGTCCCCGAGATGCTCAGGTACGGGGGGGTAGACACAGAGACAACTGTCAGTTCAGATCCCTTTTGATCAAAACTCTCCCATGTCATTGAAGTTAAATTCAAGGTCCTTTACCTTGAATTTCTATGGGACACTGGAGACATCGCTCTTTGTCATCTCTCTCCTTATCTCAATGTCTTTTAGCTCTATCCTCCATGGCCTCCTCACCCTTCCTTAAATATTCCAGCCATGGTCCACCTCAGGGCCTTTGCACCTGCTGTTTCTTCTGCCTGGAACAATCTTCTCACCTAATTTCTCATGGCCTCTTCTCTCACATGCTTCAGGTCTTTGCTCAAAAGTCACCTTGGTTAAGATTCCTCAAGGGAGGAACAACCTAAGACAGGCACAGTCACAGGGGGGCCATCAGGTAAGAAATTGGGGATCAACAGAGGTGAGGCTTAGAACCTCACCCCCCCATCTTGAGAGAAATCTTCTGCATCCATGGATGTTTTGTTGCCCTTGTCTAGCTTGGATTAACACATAGTCTACAGGCACACACCTGATCATCTACATTTGCCCTCTTACAGCACTAAACTATGTTTTCTATCTTTAACTTGCATCTACCTACCACTTCAGTATTTTATTAAAAAAAATAATAATAATAAGGGAGAAATGTGGGATTCACATATAAATCAAGTATAAAAATCAAACGAATAATCATAATTGACCTGATTGTTTATAGTTCATGATGCGTGATCAAAATTGAAAGTTTCTGTGATGACTGCCCTTGCACTGTTCACCATGTAAGAACTTAATTCACTATGTAAGAAATTGTTCACCATGTAAAAACTTGTTCAATATGCTTCAGAAGATTGGAGACTGTTGAGAATCAGGCTTGGGGTTGATTAATGATTGTGCATTGAGTCCCCTATATAGAATTTTATTGTTGTTAACAACCATATGATCAATAAATATGAGAGATGCCCTCTCAAAAAAAAAAAAGTCACCTTGGTGAAATCTTGCTCATCCCCTCCCCTATTTAAAATTGCACACCCAGCCTCAGCCCCCTTCTTCTTTTTGCTTTCCTTTTCCCTACAGCCTACATCACATTTTATTTTACTTATTTAATCAGCTTTTTGTCCCTCACCCTCCAGGATGCAAGCTCCATGAGGAAGGAGTTTTGCCCATTTTTGTTACTAGCTGTCCTCCAGTGCCTAGGGCAGTGTCCGGCACATAGTAGGCACTTAAGAAGTATGTGGTGAATGAGTGAATGAAATAGTCTCAGAAGGACTAAGTCAGGTGCCACTGAAGGCAGAGGAGCAAGTGATTGATTCTGTTAAAGGAAGGAGGAAATGTCCAGGAGTGCCTTGGACGGTGAGTAGGAATCCATCAAGATGGGGGGTAGGGGGCACTTCTGGCTGGCAGAGTAGATGTGAAATTACAGCACATGTTCAGTTTAGTGAGGTTGGCATAAAGGCTACATGAGGGAAAAGTGATGTTTGAAGCTAAAGCTAGAAAATATCAAGGCCATGATAGGTCTTCAGTGTCATCATTAGATACCGGGACCTTGTTCAGGTGGCAGTGCTGAGCCAGTGAAAGATCTGGAGTTGGGCAACGATATGTCCTCTGCATCGCTTTGGAAGGATCCCCGATGGCAAGTGGGGCATGGCTGGACAGGGCAAGGCGAGAAGCAGGTGTTCCAGGTGGGAGATGAGTCCGTGGTCAGAGCAGGGCCACGGGAGATGTTTCATGTGGACCTGACAGCATTCAGGGCTTCTGTAGATGTGGGGCTGGGGAGGCTTCTAGAGTAGGTACAGAGTTGCTGCCACTGCCACTTACCGAGAGAGCAGATGTGAGGGGAGGCAGGCTCAGCTTCATGGACGTACAGCTGGGGCAGTTGTACATGGTCCCACATTTGGGGTTTAATGCTCTGTGGTTACCATCTGGAATTTCTTAATTTTATCTTTGAATTTGTGTTCATATGTGAAGTCTGATGGGACAATGGAGCCTCAGCTTGTGTGTGTCTCCATCTCCTACCACTTTTCTCCTTCTTTGGGAAGAGTTCTTGGCCACCCACTTCCCTGCCCCTTTTCCCATAGGGTCCCACCTAGCCTTCCCTTCTGCCCCTTGACCTTTGTCCCCATGGGGACCTGGATCAGGCACAGTGGGGATCTGGGTTAGGTATCTTGGACTAGGGCATGGCGGCAGCTGTCCCTGTCCTGGGCTGGCAGCACCATGACACACTTGGTGGTTTGGTGGGGCACATCTCTCAGCCACTGCTGGTTCAGGTACCTAGTGTGTCCTGGCAGTGCTCTGGTGGCATGTGCGTGTGTGTGTGTGTGTGTGTGTGTGTGTGTCTCCCATCCTCTTCATGTTGGGCTGGTGGGCCCAGGGAAAAGGGGAGCTGTCTGGCTTGACTTTACCACCACTCTAGAGCACGGGTCTGGTGGTTGGTGGGAGGAGAACCCTGGCATCTGGTGGGCTGTGTGGGAACGTTGACCTGAGGTAAGGGCCCCCAGGCCCCTGCAGGGGTCTGCACACACCTGTTGGTACCCCAGTGCCCAGGGAGTGCAACATTAAAGAGCAAATAAGAAACCCAAGGCAGGTTGAGAGAGACTGTGGAAGAGGGGAACAGAGCTTTATGTCTTAGTACCTTTCTCTGAACTTTTCCCCCAGTTTTTGAGCAAGAGCACTGCATTTTCATTTTGTATTGGGTTCTGAAAGTTATGTAGCTGGTCTTGATAGGAGGAGCAGGTTTTCTGAAGTCTGGCTTAGAACAGGCTGAGTTTGAGGAGTGTCTGGGACATCCCGGAGGAGAGTGTTGGGTTTGGGTCCATAGGCTAGAGAGGGATGCTTGGCAGGTGCATGAAGGGAGGAGGCATGGGTTTTGGGGGGGGTTTCTGCATAAGGAGGGAGGAGAGTGAAGCTGGATCTGGTTATGCTTCTCCTGGGTGGACGTCAAAGGCCCTCCCCTGCCCCACGGCTGCCACTCTAAAATCCCTGTCTCCTCGCTCTCACGGGACCTGCATTTCTCCTCCTTGTCTTTTTTTTTGGCTTCCTTCTGGACTTTTCTACCCAGCCTGGAAACCAAGGTCAGTGGTATCAGACATGTCCTAGCCCTCACATTTTAAAGTGTCCTTGGCTGTTGGTTCTGTTTCCCTGGACAATCTCTGCCTTTGTTGTCTGCTCTCAAACCTGAGCTGCAGAGTGTGGCCCAACTGCCAGGCATCCAGCTAGCTGATGTCCTTACAGATGTGGCTCTGTGCCTCGTCACCTGCTACTTCTTACTGCTGAGGGCCTTTCCCACATAGCCCCCTCCAGCCATACTCTCCCTGGCTGATGGGTCTCACACACCTGGCACATCTGGTTTCCAGCTGTTGATGTGCCTATTTCCACAGGGTATGTTTCTGCCCCCAGGACCTATCTCAGCATCAACAACCATGTCTCTCTTGTGTCTTGTGTCTTTGTTACAAATAACTCACCATTCAAGCTGTGCTGCATGGATTCTCCCTGTTCAAATCTCAACCTCCCCCAGGCCCACTGAGGACACTTGGCCTTGGGCTTCAGTATGGAGGCAGAGACCAACTGACCAGGGGTGGATGTGGGGGCTGGTGAAGGGCACAGGTTGCAGAGCCAGATAGACCTGGTTTTCAATCTTGCCTTTGCCAGTTACTAGTAGAAGATTCAGGGCAAATTTTCTTAACTTCAGGTTTACTTATCTGTAACAGGGATTTGTTGTGTCTATTGAGCAAGGTGGTTGCAAATGTCAAAGGAAATAGTATATGCCACGTCCTTAGAACAGTGCCTGGCATACAGTTTGTGCCTAAAGGACGCTGCCTGCTGTGAGACCCAAACCCCCTTGACATCCCTTCACCCTTGCATCCTTAGCGTCCACCAGCCCTTCTCTCTCCCTCCCGTCCCAGATGGGCCCCAGGCCCTTCCCTCCTGATCTCTGATTCCATGTCCTCCTGCTGCTCCCCAGACCTTGCTCTTTCTGGCAACCTCTCTTTCAGATATCCAATCTCTCCTCTACCAACCCCTCCTCCTTTGTGTATGGAATGTGCTCAGTTTTACATGCCCAGAAAAATCAAAATACTTGGCATCCTTGATTCTAGCCTACTCAACCTATTTCTAGAGGAACTCAGCTTCAGGAGAAACTCAACCATTAGGACTTGCCTGAGGGTCTTAGTCTTGCATTCAAAGGCAATGAAGCCCTGAGCTCATCCATGTAGAGCTGACCTCTCTAGTGAGGGAAATACTCATATCTGCCTTATCCAGGGTTGATAATCTCGGGAAAACCCCCTTCCTTCATGACCTTACCCCAGTGAGCCAGCAGGGACGGACCCTGGCTTCCCCAGGAGGGCGGTGGCGGTGGTGCAGGGCTGTGCGCTCACCGGGTTTGTGTACCAGCCCTCCCAGTTCTTGCTGTGTGTCTTTGGGCACATCAGTAAACCTCCTTGAGCCTTAATTCTTATCGTCTGGAAAATAGAAATGATTGCCCCTGCTCTGCCATTTTCACAGGTTCTTTTTGGATGGCCAAGCAAAATGGATATGGAGATTGTGAAGTTTTATACCAGTGAAAGGGGTGTATTGTAGGTTGGTGTCTTCCCACCGGGGTGTGAGTTTGAGGTGGAACCAGGATTTCTGAGTATCTTTGAAAAGCCTTTTCTGCTTGACACAGGTGGTTCTCATGGAATGGTTTCAGGAGGGGTGGAGCAGCCTCAGGTGGGCACCTTGATCCTCTCCTTTCTCTCAATTTCTCACCACTTTCTTCTCTTTACTTCTTTGGAATCTACCTCAGATTCCATGATCCATTATCACCAGGATCCTGAATGTCTTGCCTCTGACCTTCCATCACACCCCCCTGGCTAACCCCAAATTCTGCCATGCTCCCACTCCCACTTGTGCAACAGGGCAGGTGGCTGCCACTATGAAGCATGACCGCAGGCCTCCAGGAGGCCTGGCAGGCAGAAATGTCCCACTCTATGCTGGCCACCTAACATAATGCTTTTCCTAAACCTCCAACACACCAACCCTCACACCTTCAGCAGACAACTCAATTCTTAATTCACAGAAGAAAATGCAGCCATCAGATGGGAACCCATCAGCTTCCCATGGTCAAATCTACTTGCCTCTGTGCCTACGTCCCTGTGCCCTGTCCTCATCTACCCTCCTGTTACAGTAGATGAGGCATTTCCCTCTCCTCCTAGGCCAGTCTTTCTCCTATCTCCTCCCCCTGAGGAAGGGAAGACCATCAGTTAGTCCTTCTTCATCCCTTCTCCATCAATATTCAGACTCAGGATTTTTCCTTCTTAAGTCCAAATAGACACACACACACACACACACACACACACACACAAAATCTTTAATTGGTCCCACGTGTCCTGTTTTAGTTCTTTCCTCTTCTTCACTATGAAAGTCTGAAAAAAGTGTTTCTATTTGCGGTTTCATTTTTCACCTCTGTCTCTCTCTTCAGTCCATTTTATTCTGGATTCTGGCCTCCTCACATCACAAAAGCTGTTTCTGCTGAGGTCATCCACGACTTCCCTATCACCAATACAAAAGACAATTTTCAGTCTATTTTACTTGGCCTCTCAGCAGCAACAACTCCTGCTGACCATACCCTCCTGGAAACCCTCTCCTCGCTAGTTGCCATACACCGTACTCTCACGGTGCTCTTCCCGCCCCACTGGCTCCTTCTCAGGCTTCTCTGTCAACTTTTCTTGGTCATTAAACATTGGAGGGTGCCCTAAGACTTGACATGCAATCTTTTCTTTGCATATGGATTTGAGGATCAGCTTGATCATTTCTGCAAAAAGGCAGCTGTGATTTTGATAGGGATTGAATTGAATCTGTAGATCAGTTTGGGGAGCACTGCCATCTTAACTATTAATTATAATTTCCCTGGACAGAAATTACAATAAAATGTTGAATGGAAGTGACAAAAGTGGCCAACGTTGTCTTGTTTCTGATCTGAAGGGGAAAGCAGTCAGTCTTACCATCAAGTACAATGTTAGCTGTGGGTTTTTCATTAGCTGTCCTTTATCAGGCTGAGAAAGTTTCCTTCTATTCCTCTTTTGTTCAGTGTTTACAATGTGACAAGGTATTAGATTTTGTCAAATGTTCTATCTGGGGTTATTGAGATGATCCTGTGGTTTTGGTCCTTTACTCTAAGGACAAGATGTATTATGTTGATCAGTTTTCCTAGGCTAAACCAACTTTGCATTCCTGGGATATTTGCCACCTGATTATGGTGTACAATCCTTTTTATATGTTCTTAGTTTTTGAAGATTTTTGCATCTATAGTCACAGGGGATATTTGTCTGTATATTTTTTTCTCTTGTGATATCTTTGATTGTCGTCCTCTGATTTTGGTGTCAGGGTAATGCTGGCCTCATAGAATGAGTTGGCAAGTGTTCTTTCTTCTCCAATATTTTGGAAGAATTTGAGAATATTGGTGTTCTTTAAATGTTTGATAGAATTCACCAATGAAGCCATCTGTGCATGGAATTTTCCTTTGTAGGGAGTTTTTGTTAACTAATCCAATCTCTTTTCTTTGTTATAGTTCTATTCAGATTTTCTATTTCTTCTTGAGTCAGTTTTAGTGGTTTGTATTTTTTTAGAAAATACTCCATTTCACCTATGTTACCTGATTTGTTAGCTTATAATAGTTCATAATATTCCTTTATAACTCCCTTTTTATTTCTATGAGGTCAATTGTGATGTCCCTTCTTACATTCCTGATTTTAGTAATTTGAATTGTATCCCTTTAGTCAATCTAGCTAAAAGTTTGTCAATTTTTGAAAAAAATGCAACTTTTGGTTTAAATATTTTCTGTATTGTTTTTCTACTATTTTATTTATTTCCACTCTAGTATGTATTATTTCCTTCCTTCTTGCTTTTGGTTATGTTTGCCTTTCTTTTTAAGCTTCTTAAGGTGGAAGATTAAGTTATTGATTTGAAGTTGTCATTATTGTTTTGCTATATTCCTTCTTTTTCTCTCCTCCTCTTTCTCCTTCTTTCTTAAATAAATATTATTTTTTGGAATAATATTAGGTTCACAGAAAAAGTGGGCAGAAAGTATGGCAATTTCTTCCTATATATCCTTTGCTCCCACATGCAAGTTGGGCACCAGAGTGGCACATTTGCTGCAGTTGGTGGAGCTCACTACACATCAGCATCACTCAAAGCCCTTAGTTTACATTAGGGCTCACTTTTGGAGCTGTACATTCTATGGGTTTTGACAAATATATGACATGGATCCACCATTATAGTGTCATACAGAATAGTTTTACTGCCCTAAAAATCCTCTGTAATCCACCTAGTCATTCTGCGCTCCCCACTATTCCCTGGCAGCCAATAATCTTTTGACTGTTTCCATAGTTTTGCCTTCTCCAGAATGTCATGTAGCTGGAATCATATAGTATGTAGCTTTTTCAGATTGGCTTCTTTCACCCAGTGATATGCATTTAAGTTTCTTCTATGTCTTTTTATAGTTTGATAGGTCATTTCTTGCTATGAATAATATGCTATTGAATAATATGAATAATGTAGCACTGAATAGTATACCATTATCTGGATGCATCCAGTTTATTTATCATTCCCAGTTTATTTATCCAGTCACCTGTTGAAGGATATCTTGGTTACTTCCAAGTTTGGGCAATTATGAAGAAAGCCTCTATAAATATTCATGTGCAGTTTTTTGTGTGGACATAGGTTTTAAACTCATTTGGTTAAATACCAAGGAGTGTGATTGCTGGATCATACAGTAAGAGTATTTCAATTTTGTAAGAAACTCAGAAATTGTCTTCCAAAGTGGCTGCAACATTTTGCATTCTTACCAAATTGCTCCTACCAGAGTTGCTGTTGCTCCACATTCTCACCAGCCCTTGGTGTTGTAAAAATTCTGGATTTTGGTCATTCTAATAGGTATGTAGTAGTAGCCTTTATTCTTCTTTTAAAAAATATAGGTATTTATAGCTGTAAATTTCCTTATACTACTTCAGTTAAGTAGCTGAAGCACTACTTCAGCTACATTGAATAAGTTTTTGTGTGTTGTATTTTTGTTTCATTTACCCCAAAGTATTTTCTAATGTCCTTTGTGATTTCTTCTTTGACTGATGGTTGTTTAATTTCCATGTATTTGTGAATTGCCCAAATTTCTTTTTGTTATTGACTTCTAATTTCATTCCATCATGGTCAGATAATATAATTTGTATGGTTTCAATCCTTTTAAATTTGTTGAGATTTGAGATGGGGCAATCTTATTTTTGCATAGAGCTTTGTTTGAAACCTGCTTTACATTTCCACGTGAATACCTCAAAGGAACTTGAAAGCAACATACACAAAGTCACACTCATGACACCCATCCTCCAGTACTCCCTACCTCAGTGAAGGTGCCATTATCCTGTGAGTTCCTCTGACCAGAAACCCTTGATATCTCCCTCTCCTTTTCTCCATAAATGCAGTCCATTACTGAGTCTGGTTGTTTTACTTTCATGTATTTCTTGAATCTATCCACTTCCTCCCATCTCCACCGCCAACATTGTAGTCCAAGCTATCACCATCTTTACAGAAACTATTACTATTTCCCTACTAACTAGTTTCTCAACATCTACTTTTATTCTTCTCCAATCTATTTTTCACATTGTAGTCTGTTTCTACTTTGAAAATTTACCAATTTTGTCAGCCTTCTGCTTAAAGTCCCATTGAATTTTTAGGAAAAAAAATCTCCAAATTCCAACAGGACCGATGAGGCCTTGCATCTTCTGGCTCTCGTTGATTTTTGTAGGCTTATCTCACCCCTTTGCCCTCTATCCTCCAGCCACATTGGCCTGCTTTCAATTCCTTGACTTCCTATCCTTCTTCCTGCCACAGGGTATTTGCAAATGCTGTTCCCTCTTCCTGGAACTTTCTTCCCTCCTCCTCTAATTGGGTACATCTTCAATATTCTTCACTTCAAGCTTCACTTTCTCAGGAAGTTTTCCACTGGATCCCTCATCTGAGCCTTTTGTTAGTAGTCTTTTGTTATAATCACTCATTTGTTAGTAGTCTTTGATTACTGTTAGTCTCTTGCAAGCTTTGTGATGAAACAATTCTGTCTGTTTACCATAGTACCCCTGATACTTGGCATAGTGCATAGCCAAAGAGGGGATCAGTGAGTATTTGTTGAGTTCAGAGACCAGTCCCCCATCTTAGACTCACCTTCCATCTTGGGTCTCCTGCCCATCTCTGTTTCAGAGCAGACTCACCTCAGTGTCTCCAGGTGGCAGTGAGGGTATCTCAGGGCTTCACAAAGACTCTGTACTACACAGTAGTTCAGGAAATTTCCACTCAGGTCCAGCTCCTGAAGGTTCCCAGTGACCCGGAGAGTGGAGAAGAGAACCTTCCAGCAGGCATCTGTGATGGGGACCCAGCTGAACCTGAGGGAAGAAGAGAGGGACAGGAGAAATAAACATGACCTGTGTGTGGGGTCAGAGGTACACAGCCTCCCTCTGAGCATCGGGCTGCAACAGGCAGTGCCATTCCCACAACCGATCAGCCTCCCTGATGGCTGCACTGCTCCTGCCACCCTGGGCTAGTGTCCCTTCTCTGGGTGGCCCCTGCTCCTGTAGCCCTTGACATACTAAAGTGCTAATTTTGTGTGTCTGTTCCTCCCTCAGTCTGGGAGTTCTTTGAGGGCAGGTGCAGATATTTTTTTACCTTTTTAAAAAAATCTGCAGTGCTAGCATAAGGCACGGTACAGAGGAGGAGGCTGGGGATCTGGCAGCCTTCCTCTCTTCAGTGCAGACACACCTGTTGTCCTTTGGCACCACCTGGCCTTTCTCTGAGACCCTTTCCTTTTCTGGTCCACTCATGTGATCACTCCTTTCCTTGGGCCACCATTGCACCGTGTCCATGCCTCTGCTCCTACAGGTATGGCATTCTATCCTAATTATGGGATGGATGTCTGCCTTCTCTCCAGATTGTGAATTCCTTGAGGGCGGGGATTGTGCTTTATTAACCTGAGCCATAGGGCCTGGCATAAAATTGATGCTTAATAAATATTTATGGGTGAGTCATCTAATGTGGGAGATGGACACTCACAATTGCCTCAGTGACCAATATTGCAGTGGAGGTGGGGACACCTGGATGGGGAGGTTACCTGGAACTGCTGGGTTTGGAGGATGGTTAGAGAAAACACCCCGTCAACTCAGGTGCTGGTTTCAGGAGGAGTGCCCGAGGCAATAAGGCAGCATTGGCACAAACAAGGAAGTGAGTTTTGCTGGGAAAAATAGACTCTCAGAAACATGCATTGGGAGGTGATGGGGGAGATCTCAGGGCAGCTGTCAATGTCAACAGCCATCAAGGGGGTACCTGAAGCAGCTGAGTGAGAACCAGAGAGAGAAATGGAGGCGGGTGGGCTGCGTGGAGGGAGTCAGTGTGGAGGCGGAGGAGTGTCCAGGAGAGAAGGTGGCAGGCATACTGGGGGCAGGACCAGAAGCAGCTGTACAAGGCAAGGCCAGGGCTGGCTGCCGCCCAGAAGCAGGCAGGGCTGCCGCACAGTCGGCTGCTGCAGAGGGTCTTTGGTGGACAGGGGGTGGGGAGGCCCAATTTGGCAGTTAGAGGTCCTGGGGACCTTGATCCTTTAAGCCCCTGGGACCAGGCTTAGTGAGAGTACCTCCAGTGCCCAGGGGTTGGAACCGACCAAGGAGCTGGAGGCAGAGGGGTGTGGGGGTACTTACAGAACTACACTTGGGGGCCTCCACACTTGTGCATGCTGTCCACCCTCATTCAGTTGAAGCCTCTTCACACGGCAGCAAAATTTAATGCAGAAAGTGAACACCAGGAGCTCCATGCTGGTTTGGACATACATTTTTGCACCTTGGAAATGGGCCATTGTTCGTGTCAGAAACTCCTTGTCCTGAATCTCATATAAGCAACGGAGCAGCTGCGGATAGTAGGGCTGCCAGGAGGAGGGCTCGTGCTGGGCCTCTGCCTCTGCCCACCGCAGCAGCTCCCACTTCCTCTCCCGAGACAGCTGGCAGTTGAAGATGTTCTCCATCTCTTGTACCCCCTGCTCACTCAAAAGGCCGAACAGGAAACACATGGTTGGTGCCCCAAACAGGTCACGTCTCCCACATATTTCTAGCAACTTTTCCACACGTCTGATGCTGTTTGGATATTCACTCTCCTGTCCCTCCTCCCCCAACACACAGGACATTGCTGCAAAGAACTCCTGGAGACACAGGTGAATGAAGCTGTAGCTCAGAGAGTTGGGATACTTTTGAAGAATACCCGTCTCCAGGAGAGTGGAGCTGTTGGCCCCATGTAACCCGTGCTTCCTGAGGTCCTCCAGACTGAACAGGCTCTTCCCTTGCCAGATGCCCTCAGCAGCCAGAGAGCAGAAGCCCCTCAGCTGGGTTCTACGGGACTGAGCTGGGAGTGCCTGGGAGAGGTAGTGCAGACAGACGGCCGTGGTGGTCTGGGACGTCAGTGAGAGTTCTTCTCTCCTCTCCATCTGCCGCTTCAGGCAAGTGCAGACCAGCCAGCACACGAATGGCATGAGACACATGGTCAAGACGGCTGGGTTTGAGTCAACCAAGCTAAAGGCTCTGATTGCTTGACTTTCCTCCTTGAAATATTTGTAGAAATACTCCTTCCTGCCAGACTCAGAGAATCCTAGGACCTCCACCCAACGTGGCTGCTCCAAAGAAGGAATGAGCTTCCAGAGAGCCGTGGTCCGAGCTGTGATCAGCAAGGATGCCTCTGGAAGAATGGTTTTCTGCAACAAACTTCCCAGCAGTCTGTGTACTGGCTGTTGCTGGCTCCAGTGCAGACAGAGCTCGGACTTCTGCTCCTCCAAGACCCATTTTGGCTCATCCAAATCATCGAGGATGAAGAGCAGCTGCTCCGGCTGAGACAGGATCTGTCTAATGGGAGCCTCGGGGGCAGCACAGTCTTTTGTGATGAGCTCGGTGAGACTCATTGCCTTAGACTGGGCCAGCTCTCTGCAGCTGAAGTAGAAGACACACTGGAAGCGGTCCCTGTATAGCCGACCTTCTTCCCAGGCTCCTTTCACCTGTCTGGCCAGGGTTGACTTCCCAATTCCAGCAACCCCATGCAGTACGACTACGTGAGGCTCTTCCTGGTTACCCAGGGCTGGGCCAAATAAGTCTCCGATCTCAATCAAATGCCCTTGCTTCTCCATCATTCCATGGTGCCAGCTTCCTTTGACCAGGGACTTGTGATCTCTGGGGTGAGATCTGTGTAGAAGTAGCAGCTGTGTGAAGTTTTGGTGCAAATCATCATTTTTCCATGACTGTGTAGAGCAGGGCCTCTCTCTCCTCTGGTGCTGGTATCTATCTCTGATTTCTAAGTAAGGGAGGGAAAGATGGAACATAAAGGTATAGGATAGATTGGTTCATTCATTCATTCATTCAACAACTGTTTTAGTGCTTGCTGCCAGTGATGCTAAGTTCTTGTCAATGCAGTGGAAGAAGCATGGGCTTGGGGGAGATCTCAGCTCAAGTCTTGACTTGACCAAATCGTACTCCCCATGACTTTCCTTCATTCTGCAAATGTTAATCAAGGGCTTACTGCATGAGCCAGGGACTGCTGTGGAGGCTGGAGATAAAGAGCGAACAAAGCAGACAAAACTCTGCTCTCATAAAGCCCATGACTTGAGCCATTAGCCCCACAGAACCTGAGTTTTCTCATCAGTAAGTTGGGGACTGTGATATCTCCTTGTAGGCAGTCATGGAGGAGTGAAGGAGATAATGGATGGTGCAGCAGATGCTGTTAGTCCCTGACAGTATCCCCTCAGCACCCAACATTGAAGCACCTGCCAGGGATGTTCTTTTGCAAACACCTGTGGTTGTCTCTCTGAGGGCTCTCTCTCAGCCTGCTGGTTGGGGTGGGGGCAGAAATGCTGGGGATTTAATGCTCTAAGAGGAGCCCTCAAACAATGACAGATGGCAGTCCCTTGCCCCCCAGGAGAGACAACTCTGACGCATGTTCTATACTGTCTCCTAGAAATCTCTAGCAACATCGAGTGTCAGTTGCTCACAGGGGTAATGTATTCCATAATGCAAGTTACAATGGCTTCCTTCCTTCCCCGTCTCACTTGTGTCTCACCTACTAGTGCCTCCAGGGAATCACTCCCCCAGTAAACCACCTGCACTCAAATCCTGTCTTGCAGTCTGCTTCTGGGGGAACCCACCTGAGACAGACAGAAAAGTGATGTGTGAACTGTGAGGAGCTGAGCACATTTCAGAGACTGTCCTTCAGGGAGGGACCTCAAGCTCATATCTTAGATGTCAAATAGAATTCTTATAACCCCTTTCCTTCTTCTATTTAGAATATTCCAAGTGCCTCTCACTTCTCTTCTTAGGCAAATTTTAGAGATGGTACAAGTGACTCATCTGGGATCCTGAAGCCCAGTTCAACTTGGGAAACTTGCTGGGCTTCCACAGTTCAAGGTTACCTTTCCTACCTTTGTGGGTATATTTAGGGAAATCTGGGGGCATGTGAGGTGTGGGGGTCAATTGCATCTTTAACATTGGTGAGACTAAGGTGTCAGAGGGCCACCCCTTTCTCTGAAATAATGACCTATAGATCTGCTTTTACTGTCTTTTGTGAGAACATTTCTGGCCATCTGAAAATCTTCTAAGAACATCAGGATGGCCACCCTGGGTCATGGCTACAGGCCACTCCACTAAGGGCCCTGTGTCTTCCAAGGTGCCAAGAGAGGGCTTTGGTCTTTTTGTGCCATGTTCTCCAAAACATCATGGTTTTCATGGATTTGTTAGCATGTTAACATACCACAATCTAAATCCTCTGGATTTAGTTATACTTTAAAAATCTTTCCGCAATCTCCAATACCCACAAGCAAGTTTCATCTTAATATAATTTTAAACATGGTTTAGCAAACCCCAGCCAAATCCAGCTGGCCACTTGTACAATCTGTGAATGGTACATTTAAATCATTGAAAAAAAATTTTACATGTAAAAATCATATAAAATTCAAAATTTAGTGCCCATAAATACAGTTTCATTGTAATACAGCCAAGCCTATTTATTTTTGTATTGTCTATGGTTGCTTTCAGGCTATGATGGAGAGTTGAGTATTTTCAACAAAGACTGAATGACCTACAAAGCCTAAAATATTTACCATCTTGTCTTTTACACAAAAAATTTTGCCTACCTTTACTCTTCTTACGTCAAAGTGGAAACTAAGGGGTTTTTGCACTTGTTATGGAACTATTGTTGGGATATTATTTTGTTCAAGTTTCCCATTTGAAAAATTCCCTTAGAATTCAGAACTGGGGGAAAGAACAATAGCAAGATGGTTGAGTGGGCAGTACCAGTCTTTGTTCTCCCATAAAAAACAAATAGCTATCCATGAATGAAAATAGCCAGGCTCAAGAGTTCAGTTAAGAACTTACAGTAACACAATGGAGAAAAAAAATGAAGAATAACCACACAAAAAGAACTTCTGGGAAGATCAGCTTAGCATAAATACCTGGAGATGCCTAGGAACAATGAAGAAGGGAGAAAGCTACCAGTATCAGCCATGGTGCCATCATGGTCCCCAGTGGCCTGCTCTGGGGAGAAATCCAGCAGGCTTTGCTGTCGTGGACCTCAGTAGCTCCTACAACAGCTGTGGACTCCCTGCAGCTTTCAGAGAAGAGGACCCCATAGTGTTCTTTAGTGTGGACCCCAGTAGCTTGCTCTTCAATGGACACCAGAAGCTTTTGTCACTGAGGTAACCAACAGCCATAGCTACCATGGACTCTCCAGGGAGGGAGATGCTGCTATTGTACTGTCCTGGGACCAGCGCTGCCTGCCGCTACCACTTCTGTGCATGCCCTGGAGCCCAGGATCCTGGAGGTTGGTGTGTGCACCTGTGCTTTAGATGCTGGCTCTGCAGTTACTCTGTGTGCACCTATGCATCAGATACGAGTAACATCATCACCATGAGGGTGCCTGCAAGCTGGAACAAGTGCCAAAAGGGACCCCTTTGGCCATTATATCCCCAGTGGGAAAAAAAGAGATCAGGAAGTCCCCAACAGCCTTGACTTTTGAGGAACTGCAGTGCAATTTTCACTGACAATAACCTTGGATGACAGAGCTACTTACAGGGGACCACTGGAGACTTCCCTGGACCAGAAATGCCATCCTCATCCAACTAGTGTCCTCACACCCACCTGCACAGGATGGTCTTTTCCCACCAAAACCAGTCCATAAAGCCTGGAAGAGGTGAGTGTTCCATCAAATGCACTGACATCAATACAAGACTACCAGACATGAAAAGTCAATGAAACATGATATCACCAAAGGAAAACAACAATTTTCCAGTATCCAAACCTAAAATGAAGGGATGGAGAAAGATATTCCATGCAAATGGAAATGTTATTAAGTATTAGTAAAAACCTAATTAATAATATTTATTCATTAAGCAAATATTAATAGATTTGAAGGCAGAAATAGGCAGCAACATAGTAATAATGGGAGACTTCTAATATCCCACCTCAACAATGGATAGATCATCCAGTCAGAAAATCAACAAGGAAATATTGGACCTGAACTACACTGTTAATCCAAATGGACCTAACAGACATACACAGAACATTTCATCCAAAAGCAGCAGAGTACATATTCTCAAATGAACATAAAACATCCTCCAGGATAGATAATATATTGGGTCACAAAGCCGGTCTAAGAAATTTAAGAGGATTGAAATCATATCAAGAATCTTTTCCAGCCATACTGGTATGAAGTTAGGAATCAACAGAAGGAAAGCTGGAAAACTTGCCAATATGTGGAAGTTAAGCAGCTCATTTTTGAACAATTAATGGATTAAAGAAGGAATCAAAAGGGAAATCAATATGTGGAGATAAATGAAAATGGAAACACAACATAGTAAAATATATGGAATGCAACAAAAGCAGTTCTATGAGGGAATTTTACAGTGATACATGCCCATAGATATTTTAAGGAAAAAATATCTCAAATAAACAATCTAAAATTCCTTTACACTCAAGAAGTGAGAAAAAGAAGAACAAACTAAGTCCAAAGTTAGCAGAAGGGAAGAAATAAAAAAAAAAGATCAGGACAGAAATAATTGAAGCAGAGACTAGAAAAACAACAGGAAAGACCAATGAAAACAAGAGCTCTTTTTTTAAAAAAAAAGATAAACAAAATTGACAAATCTTTATCTAGACTAAGAAAAAAGAGAGGAAGCTTCAAATAATTAAAATAAAAAAGAGGAGACATAATAACTGAATCACAGAAATACAAAGGATCATAAGAGATTGCTATGAACAATTATATGTCAAGAAATGGATACATTCCTAGAAACACACAACCTATTATGACTGAATCATGAAGAAACAGAAAAACTGAACAGACCTGTACTTAGTAAGAAGATACTCAGTAATTAAAACTCTTTCAATGAGAAAAATACCTAGGAGTAGATGGCTTCATTGACTGGTTAATTCTATAAAATATTTAAAGAAGAATTGAAGTCAATCCTTCTCAAACTCTTCCAATGAATAAAAAAGGAGGCATCATTTCCAAAGTCATCTTATGAGGCAAGCTCTACCCTGATACCAAAGCCAGACAAGGACACTATAAGAAAGGAAAAAATTACAGCCAATATCTCTGATGAACATAAATGCAAAAATCTTCAACAAAATACCAGCAAACCAAATTCAACACCACATTAAAAGGATTATATACCAGATAAAGTGGGATTTATGCCTGAGATGCAAGGATATATCAACATAGGCAAATCAAAAATTTGATACACCACATTAACAGAATGAAGGATAAAAATCATATAATCATCTCAAGAGGTGCAGAAAAAGCATTTGGCAAAATTCAACATCCTTGCAGGATAAAAACGCTCAACAAATTAGGTATAGAAGGAACATACTTCAGCATAATAAAGGCCATATATGACAAGCTCACAGCTAATATCATATTTAATGGTGAAAAGCTAAAATCTTTTCCTTTAAAATCAGAAACAAGACAAGGATGCCCATTCTTGCCACTTCTATTCAACATAGCACTGGAGGTCCTTGCTAGAGCAATTAGGCAAGAAATGAAGTGAAAGATATCTCTAAGGGAGAAGTAAAATTGTCTCTGCAGAGGACATGATCTTATATATAGAAAATCTTAAAGATGCCACCCCAAAATTTCTAGAATTAAGAAAAGAATTCAGTAAAACCACATGATACAAAATAAACATACAAAAATCAGTTGCATGTATATACTCTTACAACCAACTACATGAAATAGAACTAAGAAAGCAATACCATTTACAATAACATCAAAAACAATAAAATACTTAGGACTAAATTTAACCAAGTAGGTGAAAGACCTATACACAGGAAATTATGAGATACTGATTAAAGAAACTGAAGAAGACACCAATTAATGGAAAGATATCTGTGTTTTTGGGTCAGAAGAATTAGTACTGTCCATACTACCCAAAGTGATCTACAGATTCCATGCAATCACTATCAAAATTCCAATGGCATTTTTCACAGAAATATAAAAAAAAATTAAAATTCTTATGGACCCAGAAAACCCCCAAATAGCTAAAACAATCTTGAGAAAAAGGAGCAAAGTTGGAGGCAGATGATATGATCTTACATATAGAAATTTCAAACTTTTCTACAAAGCTGTAGTAATCAAAACAATATGCTACTGGAATACAAAATGGACACACAGACCAATGGTACATAATTAAAAGCTCAGACACCCCCCTCACATAATATTTGACAAGGGCATCAAGAATACTCAATAAAGAAAAACTAATCTCTTCAAAAAGTGGTGCTGGGAAAACTGGATATCTCCATGCAAAAGAATGAAACTAAACCTCTATCTTACACCACTCACAAAAAATTAACTTAAAATGGATTAAATGCTTAAATGTAAAATATGAAGCTATAAAATTCCTAGAAGAAAACATAGAGAAAACACCTTGATATTGGTCTTGATAATGCTTTTTTTTTTTTTTGGATATGACACCAAAAGTTAAAGCAACAAAAGCAGAAACAAAACAAAACAAAACCCCAAAACCCGCAAGTGGGACTACATGAAATAAAAAGCTTCGGCACAGCAGAGGAAACTATCAACAAAATGAAAAGGCAACCTACAGAATGGGATAAAATATTTGTAAATCATATATCAGATAAGAGGTTACTATCCAAAATATATAAAGAGCTCATACAACTCAATAGCATGAAAGAAACAAATGATCTGATTAAAAAATGGGCAAAGGACCTGAATAGACATTTTTTCCAAAGAGGATGTGCAATGACCAACAGGTTCTTGGAAAGGTGCTCCACATCACTAATCATCAGGGAAATGCAAATCAGAACCACAAGGAGATACCACCTCACACCTGTTTGGAAGGCTATGGTCAAAAACACAGGAGATAACACATTTTGTGAGGGTGTAGAGACAAGAGAATCCTTGTGCAATGTTGATGGGAATGTAAATTGATACAGCCACTACAGAAAACAGTATGGAGATGCCTCAAAAAATTAAAAATAGAACTTCTGTATAATCTAGAAATGCCACATCTGGGTATATATTCAAAGGAAGCAAAGTCAGATCTTGAAGAGATATCTGCACACCCATTTCACAGAAACAACCTAATTGTCATTTGGGTGATGAATGGATAAAGGAAATGTCATATATAGCTATAATGGAATACTATTCAGTCACGAAAAAGGAAATCCTGTCATTTGTGATAACATGGATGAAACTGGAGGGCATTTACTAAGTGAAATAAGCCAGACAGAGAAATCCAAATATTATATAGTATAACTTATATGTGAAATCTGAAAAAAGAAAAAACCATATACTCATGGAAGCAGAGAATGGAATGCTGACTGTCAGGGGCTAGGTGTATAGGATAAACGAGATGTGGGTCTAAGGGTACAAACTTTCAGTTATAAGGTGAGTAAGTTCTGAGAATCTAACATACAGCATTGTGACTCATGGAGTGGTTGTGGAATTTTAGTGGTTGTGCTGGTGAAGCACTGGGCACAGAGTCTGACTTAGAGAGTGTTCTGTAAATCCTTGCAGCCACATGAATTGTTCTAGGCCACTTGAGGTGTGAAGACCTCAGTGGAAATTGAATCTTTCTCTCCTGACCCCAGGCTGGTGCCCTGCCCACTGTATTGGATGATGTGTTTCCTGCAGTGAATAATGTACCGCATTTTAATTTCCAGGGGTTGCCTAGAAACAGTGCCTTATCCATATGGAGAGACTCTAGCAGTGGGATTTCTGCAGAAGGTTTGAGATGTTTGAGAGACCCTGTATGCTCATGCTGCCAACCTGTCCTCTACCAGCCTTTGCCCCACCCGCCCCCCTCCAGAAGCTCTGCAGTGCCTCACCTGTGCAGTGGTTTCCAGATGTTCCAGCCAGAGGCCACCTACTCTCAGGAGCCTCTTTTTTTCTGGGTTCTGGGCTGGGCTGAAGTGGGGACTCCCAGACCCCCTGAACCACTGTGGATATAGGGGATTGGGGTAACTCTTGGCTTGGCGATTCATGGTCTGGGGGTGTTGGACAAACTTGGCAGATGAATGAGAAAGGGTTTTCTGGGAGGGATGACAGAAAAGAGATTACCATTTACTAAGCATCCATTTTATTTCAGGCTCATACATTTTGAACTCTTACAGTAATTCTGTGATATCGGTGTTGGTAATCTAATATTTAAAATCATAAAGATAGAAGCACAATTTTATTTTCTTAGCTGGTCTGAAACTTCCTCTTGGTGAAAACTTCTATTAGGTAGAAGGATTTTGGTAAGCCACTTAACAGCAAATAGTTGCTAAGCAGCATTCTAAGGAGGTGGGCCCTCTATGTTGCCCTGCACTGAAACTCAGGGTATGCAAATTGGGGGCAGAGTGGAATTGCTCTGTGTCATTGTAAAGGAAGGAGCCAGAGAGACTGGTTATTGAATGGGGAGAGGGGAAGAGAGAAGAATGCTGGTGGGGGCATGAGAGGGCACCTTTGTAGGGGGAGAGATGTGAGTGGTGTACAATATCTTTGGTAGAATCTACATTATGCACTTGGACTTCTGTGCAAATGGATTTTTTTGTGTGTGTGGAGTTCAAAGACATGCACATTCTGTCCTGGGGGTTTGGAGGTGGTGTGCAGAGTAAAAACTGCATAGTGCGAAGGTTCAGATGAGGAAACTGAGGCACGGGGGATAAGGTGACCTGTTCCATGTCACACAGCAAGCAGGTAAAGTCAAGTTGAAAATTAAGGGCAATGGAGCTTGAGCTTGTGACGACCAAAGGGCCCAGGAGCAGAGCAGGGGCTGGGGTGGGCACAGAAGGAAGGGAAAGATGGAAGGAGGAGGGGGGGGTTAGGAATGACTTTCACACAACAAGGTAGGGGAGACATCACCACACCAGAAATGGGTAGTTCTAGTGGATCAAGTGCTGTGTGAGTGTGGACAAATGAGTTGCCGTTTCTAGCCCTTCACACTGGGAAGAGGTGGCTGTTTTAATGCTGTGATGGGAAGAGGAAGAAGCAAGGGTGTAGCTGAGGTCTGCAGCCTGGATGACTCAGGATGGCAGAGGCCCCAGTAGGCGAAGTCAGAAGAGGGAACTAGCTTGGGCTGGGGAATGAGCCTTCCCTCATCTTGGGTTCATCTGGAGAACAGAGTCCTCCTTAGAACTTTCTGGAGCACCCTGACCCCAAGGATCTTCGGAGTCCACCGAGATCATGAGCTGAGCAAGGAATGTGTCACACATGGGACCTGGTTTGGTAAGACTCACTGCCTGGCCTGCCTGGATCTCATTTCCCATTTCTGACATCAGAGGGAGTACAATTTCAACACTGGAGTGTTCCTGAAGGATCACTTGATCACTGATAGGCCTGCTGCTCCCACCACTCTATCTGGGCTGCCCCATCCTTCTTTGCTCAGGTCGATGCACCTGGGTAGAAACCCACAGCCTCACCTGGGTCCCTCAGCCTAACTTAGCAAGCCTTACCTTTCCAGCTGTGTGCAGATGTGTCACTCACGTATCCCAAATTCCTTATGTCTGAGTCCTGGATGAGCCCTGGGTGATCCAGGCCCTGGAACCTCTGCATCATGGCAGAGGTGGGCTGGCTGGGGCCTTCCAGGTTGGGTGTACTCGGGGAGTAGAGAAATGAAGGAGACTGGGCTGCTGGAAGCAGATAAAGAGGTGGAAGGCTCATCAGAGGGGAGGGGCAGGAGCCAGGGGCAGGGAGCTGAGGATGGGGTTCTGCATATTCAGCGGGTCTCCTGTCTCAACCAAGAGAGGTCAGGAGAAACCAGTGAGCCCAGGGCAGCCCATCCCGACCTTGCCAGAGGCTCTCTGGACAAGATGCCCTGGTAAGATGACAGACACCTCTGGGCAAAACATCCAGATCTGGGGGCCAGAAAACGTGCCTCTCTGCTGGTTCTGTCTCTGCCTCCCCTGAGAGTCACAGCACCTCTCTGGGCCTCAGCTCTCCCATTGGGGGCTGAGAGCCTCTGCTACCCAGGGCTGCTGACAGTAATAAAAGCAGCAGAGCTCCTGTTTATTCAGCACTTTCTAGGACTTAGACTGTGTTAAATGTTTAACACAGATTATCTCTTTAACCCCCCACACAAGCCAAGGAGGCAGGCACTTATGCTCCCATTTTACAGTTGGAGAAACAGGTAGAGAGCAGTGAAGCCACCTGCCCCATGTGGTAGCGCCAGGACTGGAATCTGCTTCTGCCCAGCTTCCAAGTCTGTGCTTATAACACAGGGTCAGGCAAGTGCCGCTTGGGAGCTGGGTGTGACACCAGTATCGCTCTCCCCCAGCGCCCTTCTGAATGTCATCTCCTCCCTCTCTGGCCTTCTGATCTTTCCCTCCTGGGCACTGTGAGGAGCATATGGGGTCCTGGGAATGCACTTGGCTAAAAGAAGGTCCAGCGAGCGTTGCCTAGTTTGGGCCTGGACCCCCTTGGGTAGGACAGTCCCAAGTCACTGCCTAAGGAAGGTCTAGTGGGAGGTTCATGGTGGGGTCCTAAGGGGGAAGGGATGGAGGCCAGGAGGTCCACAGTGGGCAGAGGGGGCTTGGTCTACTTACCTGGCATCAAGGCTGCCTCTGCCCAGGCCTTGGTGCAGAGCTCGCTCAGGCCCATCTGCTCCCAGGTGTGGAGGGCCAGGTCCCAGGCCTGCTGTTCCCCATACTGGGCCACCAGGCGTGAGGCCACCTCCATTCCTCTTGTCTCCTGGGGTTGAGCCAGGTTTGCACTGGGACAGGGCGTGTATGGTTCCTTATAAGACAGCCGAAGCTGAAACTCCTCCAGGTCTTTGTCCCTCATCACCTCCAGGTACCAGGCCAGCCGATACTGGGTTACCCCAGGCATCCTGCTTTGGCTGGGGGCCTTGGGGTTGACAGGGGAGGGGTGGGTGGTAGCTGGTGAGGGGCATCAGGCAGGCAGAGAACACCTCCTACTACGTCCCAGTGCAAGACTCCCCCGGGGAACACTCTTCTTCATCTGGCCAACTTTTCCCCATTCAGAACCCAGTTCTGTAAATCTCAGGACATCTGCCCATAGCTGGTGCTAGTGAAGGGTGTGAAGGGGGATGGCAGGAAAAGCCACGGGACAGAGGAGCCCGGAGGACCCAGGGAGACCCTGCAGAGGCCAGGCTCTGTAGAGGTACTGGGGCAGGGCCAGCAGGGTAATGATTGGTGGGGGGGAGGGGGGAAGTTGGGGTGGGAGGGCAAAGGACTGGGGTGTCCATGACACTCACTGTTCCGTGCCCCTGGGCGTCTTCCTCTCCTGGGACAAAGCCTGTAGGAGGTGACAGGAGGTGGGTGGCGTGGGGAAGTGGGGAGCAGAGGGTGGGCTCTCAGAGCCTAGGGTTGAGCTCAGAGCTGCCCACTCCCAGCAGACCTCTCTTGGCTCTGTGACACCAGCCAGGGAGCTCAGCCCTCACCCAGCCAGAGCGGAACAAAAGACACGCAGAGGAAACCTCATGGGGGTGTGGCCGGGGAAGGGGCGGGACCAGGACAGGCCCAGGCCAACTGAGGGCTCAGATCCCCTGGCTCAGGTAGGCCGCATCCACAGACAGGCTCAGACAGGCCCTGCGCTGGGCACAGACCAGGGCGACACACAGGCGTGCGTGTCTTCACGTGGGCCCCCAACAGCCCGTCACCCACAGCCCACCTGCAGCGCCGAATGTGACCTCTCCAGTTAGGTGGGTGTGGGGCCCCCAGGGGGCGCTCCGAGTCGGGGACCGAGTCTGTCTGGGCAGCTTCATATTGGCAAACACGGCAGCCTGGTCAGCGAGCACCTTTCCAGCCTCTCAGGGTTTTCTGGGTTTCCTGAGCCCCACTCCACATCCTGCCATGCTATGAGGGGCACCGAGGTGTGTGTTTCGGCCTAGGGGTGTCAGCTCTGTGGGCAGCTCAGCACTCAGCTAGTAAACATCCAGTAAACATTCCCCCACAGCAGAACAGCTCCAGCTCACTGCCACAAAGCCAGGCCTCTGGGGAGCGAGACCCGGGCTTGCTTTTGTTGTAGAATTGACAGAGGTTGGGGACTCTCGGTGGAGGAGTGACATTACTTAACCCATTTCCTGTTGTGTAGGAGTTTCTGGGGGTGCCTTGATTTGGGGCTGGAGGAACCCACCTGGGCTTTGGCTAACTGCTCACCTGGACACGGACCCTGTGTGGCTGATTCACTTCTCTGAGTCTGTTTGCTCATATATTGAACGGGATACCAGAGGTATGCTGAGGCTCGAATAAAATAAGAGCTCTTAGTAACCTTTAAAAATGTTATATAAATATTAGGTTTTTAAAAAAATGGCCAATGAGCACATTGGAGAGCATTCTATAGCCAGACTTACCAGGAGTGGGAAGTGTTGCCCCAAGATTGATTTGTGCCCTCCATAAGGGATCTGAGACCCCATCTAATAGGAGGTGTGGCCTGGAAGAGGGGTGCGATTTTTTTCTTTTCTTGATGTCTAATTCTGACACCAACTCTCTGGATACCAGCTGGGTGTCCTATAACCCAATTCTGACACTACCTGGAGTTAGTGCAGGCCCCGTGGGTTAGGGGCTCAGTCCCACAAGACTGCTCCCCACTTCAGATGCCAGTTGCAAATGGGGTGCTGAGGTTATCCACCCCTCTGTCCCATTTGGTGACAAATTCAGAGGTCTCCAGGACCCCCACTCAGATTCAGGAACTTGTTAGAATGTCTCATAGGGTTCAGGAAAACTTGACCTCCCAGTTTATTATAAAGGATACAACTCAGGAACAGCCAAATGGAGGTGATGCATTGGGCCCGGCACGGGGAGGGTGAACACAAGCTGCCACGCCCTCTCCAGGTGCGTTTCCCTCCCAGCACCTCCACTTCGGAACCCTGTTGTTTAGGGTTCGAAGGAGGTTTCAATAGTGGGTATGACCTATTAAATCACTGGCCTTCGTGACTGACTTAACCTCCAGCGCCTCTGCCTGGAGGTGGTGCCTTGGTCTTTCTGGCGACCAGCTCCCATTCTGAAGCTCTCTAATGGTTCCTAGCCACCAGTCATCCATTCACATACAGAACACACTCTTACCAATCCAGAGCACATAGAGCGCATACATTAAGTACCTTTGAACTATGATTTCCTCTTTATCCTTCTAAACAGATACGATATTCCCGCTGGCCACTAGATGGCACCCAGGCACCTTGTGTTCATTGACGAGCGCCAGCTTTGGTCACGAAGACACGCAGTGCCCTACCTCTGCGGCCTGAATTTTTAAAGTGATCTCTTTCTGGTGCTTCGGGTGTCTGCTCTCTTCCTGATGATTCAGGGCCTTTTAGGTGCACTTAAAAAAAAACTCCACTTTTATACAAATAATGCTAGTTTTATTAAAAATTAATAGATGAAGGCAATCCATATGTCCTACACCCCAGCAGAGGAAAGAGACACTTTTTTATATTCAAATGGTTATCACTTAAATCCAAACCTGGTAAGGGGGTACATGGTGGGGACTTGATAATGGGGGGAATCTAGTAACCACTGTGTTGCTCATGTGACTGTATACTAATGATGCCAAAAAAAAAAAAAAATCCAAACCTGGATAAACTTGTGGAAAGTGGCCTCCTTAGTATCTCCCTCCTCCCAGCTGCGTTGGAGTGTTCCAGGTGTGGCCTCATGGGGGTTGTGAAGCCAGTCCTGTTTCCTCCCTGGCCCCCTCGCTGTGGCCAACACGGGCTCAGACACTGTGTCCGTCCTTCTGAGATGCTGGGCCCACGGGTCTTCTCTGGTCCTCCAATTCTGCAGGCACTGCTCTTTCCCTGTCTACTCCTAAGATGTGGGATAGGCCTCTCCCGATGCTCCACGGCACAGCCTAGACTGTGATAGGAAGGCAGTCCCCAAGGACGAGGGATAAAGGAGAGCGAGAACAGCAGGGGGCTGCTTCCAGTGACTGCCGCCACCACTGGTCTTAGAGCAGGCAGGCCGGGCCATCCTCGCCGCTCCTTGCCCAGCTCTGGCTGGGTTCCGTCTGACACGGGCAGATTATTCCCCACCCCTCAGATTCTCCAGCCACCTCCACTCCTTGGAGGCCCATCAGTCTGGCTTCAGACCCCCAGAAAGAGAACAGGTTTCCCTCACATCCACCTCACTCCCAACTCAGGGCCCCGATTTAGCCTCCCTCCAGGATGATTCACACCCGGAGGTCGGGCGTGTGGTCAGTCCTGCAGCCCAACAAGGCGACCCCAGCAGTTCGATAATTCACTTTTCCAATGTCTGGGTGTTTCAGGCTTAGGCAAAACTGTGCTGAACACCAAGAGTTGAAATCTTTAGTTAAAAAATATAACTAAATACTAGTTCAGCTGGTGCCCTTCCTCTCCCTCTTTCTAATCTTTTCCCCTGTGTGAAGGGCAGAAACCATGAGGACACTTGGTGTCCACCTAACCATGGTCTGCTTTCACTCCCCTGCGAACTTTGATGCGCATACACCCACCTGTATCACCATCTGCTGGAACTAAGAATGCGCTGTAGGAGCAAAGTTGTCTCATTACAGATTTAGGAAAAAGCCCAACCCACTTCCCTCCAGTACCGCAGGAGTAGTTTCAAAGGATTATTCACAGTAGAATACGCCTGCTTGCTCTGGTGTTCTCATTGGATTTTCGTAACTGCATTTCCATCTCAGCCAAGAGCAATGACCTGGGCTTTTGTTATATCAGTGAAAGAACCCAAAACAGGGTCCTCCTAGAACCCAGGTGAGGCACACCGAAGCCTGCAGCCTAGGAGGAAGAAATCATGCATGACGTTTTAGAAACCCCTTTCACTTTGAGAGCATTTCAGCCTTACAGAAAAACTGCGAGAATAGTACAGGGAACTCCCACAGAACCTTTACCTAGGTCCCCCAGTTATTAACATGATGATGCATGGGCTTTCTAACTCTGTACAGTTACTCCTATTTAATTTTATGCTTTAATTTATTTTTGCTGATTATTTGAGATGTCATGACCTTTTATCTCTAAAGACATTGGCAAGTATCTACAAGAATAAAGACATTTTCTTATATAACCTTAGTACAAAGAGTAAATCCAGCAGATTTAGCACTGATACAATACTACTATCCAATTACAGGTAACTTTTAAAATGACATTTCCCTCTTTTTCTCTAAACTACATTATTAGGATTACAAAAATGGAATGTAGAAATGTGTAGATAATAGGTAAAAATGTCCCTTTCACTTCCCCCATCCTCCCATCCACTTCATGGGGTAACTCGTGTTAGCATATTTTTTATTACAATTTTTTTATTAAGGTATTATTAATATACACTTTTATGAAGGTTTCACATGAAAAACAATGTGGTTACTACATTCACCCATATCCTAGAGTCCCCCCCATACCCCACTGCAGTCACTGTCCATCAGTGTAGTAAGATGCTACAGAGTCATTACCTGTCTTCTCTGTGCTACACTGTCTTCCCCATGATCCCCCACACCATGTGTACTAAACATAATACCCTTCAATCCCCTTCTCCCTCCCTCCCTATGGGCCCTCCCCTTTGGTAACCACTAGTTCCTTCTTGGAGTCTCTGAGTCTGCTGCTTTTTTTGTTCCTTCAGTTTTGCTTCATTGTTATACTCCACAAATGAGGGAAATCATTTGGTACTTGTCTTTCTAGGCCTGGCTTATTTCACTTGTGTTAGCATTTTTACATGAATGAAAATATGCTTTCTACCAAATACATATATAGGATATAATTTTGGGGGGAATTGATCCTTCTTCTCTTCGAGCATTTTGAAGAACTTCTATGTTAGTACATATGAATATGTTGTTCATGGCCCTTTCAGTAGTTGTATTTCATAGTTTGCAGGCACTATAATTTATTCAATCTGTCCAGTTAGCTTGTTTTCATATGCATTTTGCCATTACCAACCATGCTGTAATGAACAACTTGGTACACATGAATGTCTTTGCACACGCACATGAGTACCTCTCAGAGAGGTTCTGCTATATTCCTAGAAAAGAAATTTCTGGATTGAAGGGAACACACGTTAAATTTTTTTTTCGCTCTTCTTGGGAACTCACTTACATCAAGCAACTGCCCATTGCACCTCTCTGGTTTGTCCTCTGGGAAGTTTTTAAGTCAAGCATTTGGCCCATCTCTTAAACACATATATGAAATATAATCTTAAAGCACATGCTTCATGTACCACCTTTTAACTGTTAAATAGAGCAACCTAATACATATTTTATTGTACTTTATATCCTATATACATGTAAATTTGTACACTGACCCTTTCCAGAACAAGATGGGCTGTGAGTCCATAAAATGACTGAATCATGGTTTTGAGCCTCAGTCCTGGGAGTGGGGGAGGGTCGGTGGCAGTGTCCATTGAATGGGATGTGCTGCATCCGGGCACTCTGCAGAGCTGGCTCATGTTATCTTCCCAGCGATTTTCTAAGATGGGGTCATCATCC